AGCGCTAACTCAGTGCTGTGGTAATCTTTGCATGCAGAGGCCTTCAGGCTGAATGCAGGTCATATGTTCACTTGACATTTGTTCTCCTTCTGTTTTTCACAGGCCATTCCCTTGAGTGCAAGTCTGTTTGACCTTGGAAACATATTCAGGAAACATAAATCCTGGAACACTTATGCTATAATGATGCCATTCATTACTCTAACATCCCCTTTTCAAAAGAAAAAACACATTTACATGAAACATATGGGCTACAGTGTATCACGTTGTGCATTAAGTTGCTGCAATTACAACATTTGTGAGTACTTACTGTAAATGTACTGTATGCATAATGCAACACATTGAGGATGGACAAAAAAGACAACCTTTATAATGTACACAAGGCAGTGCTTTAATAAGAATATTAATTTGTGTGGTCCAATATGAGTCTAGGACATAACTCAGTGGGGTTGGGGTCAAGACCTTTCTGAGACCAAGCCTAAACTAGGGACTAACTCGTACCCAGTCAGTCGTATCTTATTTAAGTAATTCTTCAAGGATCAAATTAATATTACTGAACTACTTTAGGCCCTGGTGCCTTAGAGCCCTGAAATGGGGTGTCATTTCATGTGTGACAACTGCCAAGTTCTATTTAATTGAACAGTCCATTCCATGCAGGCCCAATGTTTGTATAAATAGCGAGAAAATAGTTTTGTAAGACCAAACAACCTTGAATTTGGTAAACATAAAAACGGAACACTGAGGATAATTCATATTTTTTCTCATTGTGGCAGTAACATGCCGTTTAAAAAAAACTGCCGTATTAATATAATTGAATATTATCTTAACAGCGGGTTGGGTGCTTTTGTGGTGTATCATCATCAGAGTTACTCTCCATACAGAAGATTTAAAATGTGTATTTGCAGCTTCTCCTGTTTTATTGAAGCTTCTTCAGACGGCATGTTGTCGGCTAAAACTAACTGTCTGACCCAACCAAACCTCATTTAGTCGGGACCGGGGAGTTCAGTGACTCCCCTTCAGTAGAATTTGTAAGAGTTCTTATGACACAGAGATCCCTGAAACAGCTTAATCAAAATCTTAAATTATAAAATGCCACTTATTGCTCAACAATGTGTCATATTTTTCATGTGTCGCTGCACTGATGAAAGACACAGCTTCTGTATGAAGCTCCCAGTCCACATTTGATGAGTCCCTTTTGGAGCAGCCTTGCAGGCTCTGACAAAAGCATGAAGAGACAACAAAGACTATTTTATTCTTGGACATCAATTCAGCTGGTATAATGTGTTGGTCAATATATCACAGCGGGGCACATATTGACACATGGCCAGACTTGTATTAATGTCGGATGAAAATGTTGCCCATGTGAGATCTCATAAGCCTGATCATTGTCCATAGAGAAATACCTTTAAAACTAATATAGAGTTTGATTACTTACGTTACAATTATTACTAATTATTAGGTAGAAAATAAAAAGTGTAGTTGAGAAACACATATGCACCAGCTTTAGACAATGGATAAAAGACCTTCTTTTCAATTACTTTATATTTCTATCATGTCTCGTCTGAAATTGCTTACGAGATGTTTCTGGTGTGCGTTCAGTCATGATTGTCCTCGGTCAATGCAGCATTAGAATAGACCTGAATCAATATCTGCCCATATGCTCTTGCTCTACGTGGATTGACACTTGAAAAAAGACACTCATTGGAATGTGTGGCGAACACAATTATTCATTTGGCAGATGCTTTTGTCCAAAGTGAAATATGATCAAAGCCACAGTAGATTGATGAAAAGACTTTGAGAAACTTCGCTCCACCTAACACAAGTGCTTGTCATTGTCTATTTCTGAAAGTTATTACTCACCAATAACTCATATGTTTTATGTCTAAAGCTAATTTAATTGGCAGAATGTTATCAATGCTGTTACAGTATTATAAGGAGTATAGATAACAGAAGTCAAATAAGATTTTCATTTTCATTTTTAAAGGATATTTGTAAAGTGCTGTCACATTTAGAACAAACATGTTGTACACTACCTGTAAAGTTTAATGTTTTCTATCCTTAATTATCATTAAACACGACACTGTTACACAGCGGAAGGTTGACCCTTAAGGAAAAGTTACAATTGTTTTAATAAAAGTCGCCCACACAGTCAAGAGTAAAACACCAAAACCCATTAATTTCACATTTAAATAACAATAAAATCTAAATTTGCAATCTTGAAATTAACATAGAGCATAGTTTTGTTTTTTTGTCTTTGGAAAGCCGACCAATATTTCATGCAGCTAAGATGCTTTCATGGAAACAAAATTAATTAGTCATAAATGATAAAGTCATATTTCATCAAATGTGGATGCAAATGAGCAAAGCAGTTAGCAGTGAGCAAAAGTTATTATGATTAAGGTCTGCACTATTAAGTCTCTTTAGACTCACGCAAGCGATAATCCAGCTCTCTAAAGATAACCATCAGGCTATTTCGTTGTGTTAATTACATTCAGATCTTAACTTCAGAACAAATTAACCCGAACATGTGTGCTCCAGAGTCGGATTCAAAAGCTTATGTAAGGAACATTTGTACATTTCACTACATTTGTGTGGATCAGACGATTTGGAGATAACTGACAGTCTCACATTTGTAAAACCACAGGGCAATATTAACATCTGTTAGAACACGTGTCACCTTTGTTAATGTGGGAGGTGTAACATTTTCTGTCAGCTTATTATTTTGTATCTCCCCTGACACAGATAAAATATTACAAAAAACATGGTGAAAAATGGATTGAATGCTTTATCATGAGAAACAGATCACGGGCAGAGATCACGTGTTAATACTACTGACAAGCACCAAAAACCTTGCAGGCATTAGTAAACCTTCCATTCTCAAAAATACATCCTATTTTCTTGTCAAGGTAAAGTTCATGTCCAAAGTATCTTTCCAAAGTATCTCATCCCTTCACAATTACCATTCAATGCCGGTATTTTTTCTTTCACCTTGTGAGCCTGTGTGTGTGTCATCGTGCACATAAAATTAAAATAAAATTAAAAAAAATATATATATATATATATATGTATCTTTATCTTTTTCCACATACGTATATGCAAGACTGGAAGGGATAAAATAGTAAGGTCTAGTAATCCCAAAGGGGATGGGCCAAATCTTTTTGTACAGAAATAAAAAGTAAAAAAGGAATGAATGTAACCATTGTATTTCCTTGTTGGAGCAAAGCACGGAAACAAATATTACCTGAGATGGAAGGCCACACACAGCGCTAACATGGCCAGCTGTGTGCCGCCACATTATTATAACCCTCAAATGTTTCCATAATGCTTCTATACATCTGTGCCTTTAAAAGTCAGGCTGCCCTCTGAGAAACAGTGATTTCATAGTCGATAAGAAACAGAAATGCCATTGAACTGCTGTGGCATACAGAAATGAAAAGATTATTGGCACATAATTTAAAAGTTGTTTTTATTTTTAGGATTATTGTCACTTATTCTATTGCATATATTTAATAGGGCTCATAACGTAAAAGAAAGGCAAAAGAAAGAAAAGCAAGAGATGGGAATTTCCAGTCAGGAAAAAGAAGACTGATCATTTTCCTGTAGTGAATAGTTGCTTTGAAAGCAAATGTCTTCTACTCCAAGTTGGAATTCTTTTTTTACACTGCCCAGATAACAAAGAAGATCTTTGATGCTACTGTAGTCAGCCTTTCCACTTGCATTGTGCGGTGGCATCATAATAGGAAGAGCTGGTGGATTCCCAGTGATATCAATGCTGCTGTTGATCTACAGTACAGTATGGCAAAGTGCATACTTCATATGATCAAAAAATATTATGTCATTAGGAATTTGTATCTCTTATTACCCCTGAAATAAATATCTTCAATATCTATTTACTCAAAGATCAAGAGATTTTCTTTATTCTTACCACTACCCCTAAATATAAATGTGTAATACAAAATCAGTCAGAAACTGAGGCTGTAATGTGGATTCAACATTGTGAATGGTTGAATCCACATTATGTCCATTTTGTTGGCGTTCTCCAACATCACATACTTCATTTATGTTGAAGGTCTTGGACTGCGAGTTCCCTTAGTTTGACAGTTCACTCAATATCCGCATTGACGTGAACAAGAAGTCCAATCAACACTGACATTACCAACCTGACCACTGCCAGAATCAGATTGAAATGTTCCCAAGCTTATTACAGCAGGGTCAAACTATTCCACTTGTGTAAATTGCATGTTCAGATGCCCTGTAATGACAGCCCTGCAGCAGTCACTTGACATGTGGATCAACCTTTTCAGTTTTTTTACTCATATCGCAGTCAGTGGATTTGATGGATCCGACAGGAGGAAGTAACACAATCCAAACACGGATCCAAGACCATTTCCTGTGGTTTATTAATAATAAACAATGAAAGGAAGGATCTGCACATCACCGGCTACAATAAAGTCCATTCGAAAGCAGAGACGTTTTGGGCAGAACCCTTCGTCCTAAAAACAAACCACCTAAAAGTGATCCTCAGTTAAACACATCCATACAAAAGAGGTAAGACACAAAACTGTGTCATCCCCATTCAACAATCACCAGAAAAGACAAAGAGTCGACAATGTACTGCTGTGGACGGTTGCATCAACCTTTAGACACTTAAAAAAATCTATACCAGTTTAAGTGTACTATACTTAAATATATAGTATTTAGAATATATTTCACTGTTTGGAAAGAGTATATAGCAGCTTCAGTTTCTCATCAGACTGTATAACTGTCTCAAGGCAAGGAAAAGCAGTAAAAACGTTCTCAATTTAGCATACAGTTATGGGTTTTACAAATGGCTAAAATATGTTTTGCTGCTGCCACAGCTCTAAGTTACTTATCTATCTTCGATGTTGGTAGTCCTGTCTGTTACTCCAAACTGAAGCTTTTAAACCGCTGATCTGCCGTAGGTAAAACACTGACTGTGGATAAGTCCCCTTTAATGTCAGCACACAAGGAGATTCACTCACCAGAGGGGGCGCTCTCACACTCCTGTAGGTTACACTTCTGGATGCTCTCCGGGCACAGCTCAGGATCACATTGGGCTTGATCCACTTCTTCGTCCGTCTCTGCCTTTGTGTTCACACATTTGATGAGTCGACGCTGCACTCCGCCACCGCAAGAAGCCGAACACTGCAGAGACAGTTTACACTCATTTACAGATGTTTTACTGGACATTGCTTCTTTCTGCAGAAAATGTTGTGATTTCACATCAAATATTCATAGTTATAGATTCTAGAAACATTGGTTTTGTTTTATTTGTATCAGTGAACAAGATGGGGTGCTCTGAGGAGTTGCAGTACTTCATGGAGATTAGCAACAAGGCTGTTTTATTAAATTAATTAGAGACTTTAGGTTTCAGTTAAATCTGGAAATAGTGGATATCCTATATTTTTTAGTTTGTACGTGTTCAATGATAATCGTTATATAACTGATTCTTTGGACATGATTTTCATTGGCTGTGTGCCGTTTTAAGACTTTCAGGCTCTAGAAAGGTAGTTTTGTCGTCACTGCTCATATCGTTCAGGATTTTAAACGATTATATAGAAAGACCCTTTGTGGACTGGAGTCATAAGAGAGACAGGGAGGAACTGATATCCGTGTAATTGTCACAATGGGTCAGGTTATTATAAGACGACTGCCTGCTGATGTTTGACTGCGCATATACCACACGGATCATAAGTATTAATGTGGGTTTCAGAGATAGAAATGCTTCCCACCATTATCTGTACATTTTTTAAATGCTGCTGCCTCTAACTCAATGTGACAAAGGCAGGAATACTACAGGATGCGTAGGCTTTGAGAAGAAACTCTGGACCCAAAAGGCAAATAATGAAAGGGTTTTTGATAATCCATGTTTTTTCTGTTGCTTCACAGTTTTCTTTATTGTTTTTTATCCAATCAGTTCACACCACATCATTTCTATGGCTATTCTAGATCTATTAAATACATATCCCTTTTATATTTTGCCACTCCCTAATCCTTTGACCACTCTTTTTATCTGTTCTATTCTTTCTTCTTATCCTCCCAACCAAGCATAGTAGTGAGGCCTCAGAGGTCCAAGACTATCTTCAAATTAATTCATAACCAAACCTACTTCTTCACACAAAAGTTAGATCTCTAAGCCAATAACAGGGTTTGATATCTGGTTATATTACATTCTTTACATTAAAACACTGTATGAATTATCCAGTGACCCTGAACGGGATACAAGGTTTAGAAAAATAATAGTGAGGTGGACATGATAACAGAATAATTCATAGATTTTTACATATTCAATTTCTTCTTGAAATTGGTCTATAAATCATACGGAGTTATTCTCCATTTGTTGGTTTGCATTTGCATGTGCATGTGTGTGTGCGTGTGTGCGTGTACCTGTCCCCATGATCCAGTAAGCCACTGAGCACATGGCTGGCTGCTACATGATTGGATGTTGCTGGGCTGGAGGGCCACATCACATTGATCCTCTTCTGGACAGGTGACCATACGCTGCTGCTCACCTCCGCCACACACCTCAGAACACTGAAACACACACACAGTTTCTGAACTTCAGCAAAAGATATTTGATTTTGGTGATCTAATTTCACACAGACTTGATGCTTGTTCAGGGTTAAACTAAAGGCAAGTTAGATTTAGGACTTTTTAAGACTTTCTCTAATGTCACCCAAAATGTAATTTAAGGCCAATTTGACATACAATGTATCCACTATCGGAGGCATTTAGAGTAAGGATGATTTGAAGACGGTACACAACATCGCAACAAAACAATTCATAAAATGCTACTTCTCATGTCTGTATTAAAACGTGTAAAAGGTTGCTTTTAATACCAATAAAGGCTTTATTTTGAGGGCCACTTAGCTGTTAAGACATTGGAAGGATCCGCAGTAACCCTTTTGCTTCAAAAGGGGAAATGTTTCATCTTTGTGTTTCTGTCTTTATTGTTACATAATTATTGCAAGGTTCAAAGCCAACTTTTTGGTGAGTTCAAATACTAGTAATAAGCTACAAAATCTTTTGATGCAGTCTTGAAGTATTTTGACACTCTTGCCTCAACCTTTAATTGAAAATACATGGGAAATGCTTGAGAAGATTAAGCCACGTCTAGCAGACACCAGAATGCACAAAACGCCATGTTCCTCATTATTTTCTCAGGATCACTCACCTGGCCCCAGGACGAGGTGTACCAGTCGAGACACGGCTGAGGGTTACAGGTCGTTTGAGTTTGTGGCCTGGAGGACATGGCCCGGCAGTGGAAAGGTCGGAGAGGTCTTTGATCCCGCAGGTCAAAACACTGGACCTCTCGTGATTTAATGCCTCCTTTACAATTCTTGGAACACTGAGGGAAGACATGGACTGATTGTTATTCTAATATCATGAACAGCTGGAGCTTGTTAGTATTCAGTGGTAGTGGGTTTCATCACTCATACAAAAAGCTTGGCTAAAGTGATCGATGGTTGCATTCAAGAAAAAAACTGCAGTCTCAGTGTCCTTTGACTTACTACACGAGATAACCTTTGACATGAATGATGAAAAACATTAAACATTTATAACAAGAATATCCTATCAAGAAAACCTTTTTTAGGTAAACCCTTCTCTGGGTCTGAACACCTCATTTGTTCAAGAGAGTTTATCTTTCTCGTATTTTGGGATCATCAGTCATCATCAGTGATTATTGTAATATTTAGCAAGAGTCTACAGACATACTAGCGCCTGATACATGACACATATTTTGTCCAAAATATGATATAAAGTCAAGTTGATCTGGTTATGACACTGGAGAGAAAGCTAAAGTATCATTTAAGTTATTACAATCTACTTTATCTCAAAGTAGACATGAATGTTTGTTCAAAATGTTATGCCAATACATCCAGTGGTTCAATTGGAGTCAATTCAATTGAAACTACAAATGTTAATCTGGTGACGCTAGATAACCTTTATTCCCTGTGAATCATGAATGTGTTTGCCACATTTTTGGGGAATCCCTTTGATAGTTTTTGAGATATTTTAGCCTGGACCTGAAGAGTTAGAGCGACCAACATTGCTATCCCTACAGACAGCACTTAATAAATACCTCTTGCTGTGCATATAAACAAAATAGATAAAAAGAACAGGGGAAAAATGTGTATAAACAAGATCCACAAGTAGTCTAACCTCACTCCATTCTTCTAATTTCCATGTGGAGCAGGGGCGCAGGTAGCACCTCTGGGCTGGCGCTGGCCTCTTGGCGGGATTGCAGCCTGAGTTGGAGCCAGTGCTGCAGGCCAAAGTCCTCCAGATGGCCCCCAGACCACAGCTGGTGGAGCACTGCCAACAAATGTAGTAACACATGAGAACACTAATTACACGTAGTAATTTCAGGATTAGATGCGAGAAAAGCTCCGGCACAACAAACCTCACTGATACTGTAACAATGCAAATCATGTGAAACTTTACATTTGTAAATCAGGCTGAAAACAACTAAGGAATATGCAAATAAAAGCACAATCTTAAAATGTTCTTCTGTTTAAAACACTTGAGAGTTTTAAACAGAGGCAATTGTTTATCAAAAGTGCCATAAATTCATTACTGTATGTAAATTGACATCAGCTGCATAAACTTAAGGTCTCCAAAGAATTCAAATGTGTACAGGGACCAAAACTAAACGCTGTGTCTGCATGATAAAAGCAGATGCAGACAAAAATAATGAGACACGGCTGTGCTTCATCCCACAGTTTAAGTACAACACCAGAACATGTTGACGCAGACTCACAGCACTCCAGTTGCCGGTGACCCAGTAGGCAGCAGTTGTCACTTGTGTGGAGGCTGAAGTTGGCGCAGATGATGGCTCTGGAAGCGGCCACAGAATAGGTGGATGGTTTGGCAAAATGGGCACAGCAGGTGTAGGTGTTTCCATGTGCTGCACTGGCATTGTGTTATGTTGAGGAGGGGTTTCTGTGGCTGTTGTCAGCTGGTATGAAGAGTCCTGATCAGTGTCACTGCTGCTCCCAATCATCGGGGGGACGATTATATCGTTGTAATCAAAATCAGCTGAATCAAACGTAGGAGTTCGGGATGTGGAATCTGCTCCAGTTCTTTCTGTGAAGGCGGGCTTTGTCTGTATTTGTTTAACTGTAGCTGGCAAGAAATCATCTGGAGAAGGCGGAGTGGCTCCCTCCAGGTTTGTAGGAGATACAATTTCTGTTGCAGTTAACGACGTGTAGTCATCAGAGGCCTCTCTGTTACCTGAGGTTTGCAGAAAGGGAATGGGAAGAGGAGTGGATGTCTCCGAGGCAGGAAGTGAGGTTGTACTGAGGTCAAGGTGTGACTCCCATAAATTACCCTCACTAGTGGCATACAACGTATTCAAATAAGTCTGATCCAAGTCCAAATCCTCCAATGTGAAGGCAGTTTGCAATATTAATGTTTGGCTGGTTGTTTGAGGTATTTCTGAAGCACTTTCGTCCAGATGCACTGGTGTAGGAGAGACTGAAAAATCTGGACTGTCTACATCTTCCTCTCCTGCATTGATATATGGACTTAGCGTACGTTTGTCCTTGTAGCTGTAATTATATTCTTCATCTTCCTCCGTCCCCTGAGCCCCCACTGTTTTCAAATCAGTCTTGATAGTGGTTTTATGGCCGAGAGCGTGGTCAGCATACTTTGCAGTCACTGTGACATCCTGAGTTTGATTTTCCTCCTCATTGAAAATGTCATAGTTTTTTTCCGACTCCTCCACATATTGCTCCCACTTGGCATCCTGTGTGGGCTCCTCGGTAGTGAAAACCAGATCAGGAATTGAGCTTATTTTTTCAGGCCACCTCACATCCTCATCATGTGTCTCTTTAAGTGTTTTTGAATGCTCGGTTGTAGACAATGGCGGCGAGCGAGTGGTAGATACAGGCAGAAGGTAATCCTCGGATAGGAAGTCGTGCAAATGTTCAGAATTTGTTTGCACCGACTCCTTTGTTGATGAATTTCCGTTGACCTTCGTTTCGTCCTGATTTATATTCTGTGGCTCTTCAGTTCTCAAAGTGTTGGCAGTGGCCTTTGAGATTGTAGAAATGGCTGAAGGAGCTTTTGTAGTTTCAATGTAAGTGTTTTCTTTTATGCTGCTGGTTGGCTTGGCCCCCTGTGGAGGACCAACTCTGTCCCCTGAATCTTTTACATCATCCTCTAAGTCATCCGATAAGTCTTCATGGAAGTTGATAAAATTGTAGTCATAGTAAAAATCGTCCACTTGAACAGTGTTTTCTGGAGAATGATTAATATTTTCAATGTTATTGTGGTAGTGGAAGTCTCCTTCAACAATGTTGTTAAGATTATTGCTGTTACTTCTTGGCTGGGCTCTGGTGGTGCTGTGTTTGGGGGGAGGTTTGACTTCAGGAATAGAGTTAATTTCATTAAGCACTTCTTTGCTCGACCAGCCACTTCCAGACAAGTCGACCCCTCCAAAGTTATCCACCACCGGTGCACAGTCCTGGATGTAGCAGGAAGTGACAGCGAGGGGCTTCTTCTGAGGGTCACAGTCAATGCCGGTGTTTCTAGAGCAGGTTACATTACGACGGCGTACTCCACTTCCACAGGTCAGCGAACACTGCATGGAAGAAAATACACATCAGATCACCAAGTCACACTTTCTTAAAAATGTAGTCTTTTACATTAAGTGCAACTAGTCATAGCAAAGAAACAAGCTACATTTCCTTCCTGTAGCTTCAGTGTCTTGTACTTGTCAATCAAAATCCTTACAGCTTTAGAGGGAAACAAATTATAATTTTAGTAACCCTGGATTATGGACTAACCTGTACTTCACAACTGTCATACAACCAGAATTGTAGCAAAACATTAATACACCTTCGTTGAGGCTTCAAATTTATTTCCAAACATTTCTAAAAAGTTGTGATTATGTGTGAAAGAAAATGTTCAAAGAACATGACCTCTGTGTAGTTGCTGCCCTGGTCATGGACCTTAAGATCTGAAGCAATTCAATATGCTGCCTCTGAGTAATCAGCATGTGTCTGTCTGTGTATGCCACTCTCGTCTTTTGCTTTTGTATTTTGAAAGAGCTTAAGATGTTTGAATGTCTGGTCATGGAAATGAAAAATTATTTCAAAAGAACTAGAAGATAAGAGGTTGAAAGGCTTTCTCTATGATTACTACATAGTTTAACATCATCCTTCACAGAAAGACCTTTTCCCAAGCTGTAGGAATATCTAATTTGTATTTTCATTCCCTGTTCAAACACAATTGTAGACAAACCAAAACCTCATATTCCAACCCAGACTCACCTTCGTCCAGCTGCTGGAGGCCCAGTCTGCAGGGCAGGGGATGTGTGTGTTGCAGGAGGAGAGTGACTCCGGTGTGGGTGTGCGTTCACATTCACTGGGCTGAAGTGCTTTCTGCTCCTCAGCACTTACTGCCTGAACGCAGAGCACCGTCCTTTTACTTAGGCCAGAGCTCCCACAGCTGGCTGAACATTTCTGCCACTCACCGACCCACCATCTACACACAGAGACACAGGAAGCACATTTATTTTCCATTTAAAGGCAAATAAAAAATGTTAAGACACCTACAGTAAATTGTCTTTACTGTAGGGTATTTTTATTATATGTACAGCACTTTGGCTCGACCAAAAATCGTTTAAAAATGTGCTATATAAATAAAACTTGATTTGATTTGATTTCATAAAATGTTTGACGGATTTGCAAATGGGATGAGTCACCGAAGATTCAGTGAGTTTTCCATTTTATTTTACCCCAAGCACACAATGAACATGTGTTCAGGGTGATAACATGTTATAACACATGTTATCACCCTGAACACATGCTGGTCAATAGACATGTCTTAAGTGTTTGTTTTATTTTAGTTGTGAGAGTTCACATTTGGTTACATTGTTCATTAGCCACTACACAACACAAACAATTATGAAATAATAACCCATGAAATGATTTTCTAGCAGGTCAACCTGAATTCTGGGCCATGATGTCAAATCCCAACCAATGATGAAAATAAAATAATTTATATATTGTTTATTTATCGCACTTGTCCACAACCTATTTCAGAAGCTATGCACATAAAGATTAAAAAAATGTTAAACAATTTCATTCGTCAATGATATCAAATAATGTTGATGGCCAACATCTGTCGGCAGTGGCTCAGTCAGTAGGGGCTTGGACTATGAGCCGTAGGGTCGCCGGTTCAAGTCCCTGACCAGACCTAAAAAATATGGAGTGTGGACTCAAGGACACAAACAGTTTTGATAAACAGGAAGGACAAACAACAGCTATTTCATGCTTTCCAATGCACTCTAGTCCTGCATATGTTCTCTGAGTAATGCGCACTTTAAGAGGCTACAATATTTTGATCTAATTCAATCTTATTATAGTTATTTTTTATTTAATGGCTTTTTGCTAACTGATTCCACTGTTCTCACTATATCGTAAAAACACTGTCTTACAGTTGTCATTTCCAGACAGAGGTTGATTGATCTATTTACCTACTTCATTTGCCTTTTTAAGTATAAAAAGATATAGATCTGCAATGTCAAACGACTTTAAAAGACTAAACTTTTACATTTTGATAACTGTAAGCTACATAAAGATAGTGTTTAAGTAGGCGAACGCCATCTGGCCATAGAAGTATCTGACATTTGGAGCAATCAAAATGCTATTTGAAGTTGAAAGCAAAATATGAAATCTCCCTTAATATAACTGCTCTAGCATCTTATTCCTTTTTTTTAAACAAGGTATCAATTAATAATAAGGTAATATGAACACAACAAAGCCTTTAAAGGTTAAGGGTGTGTCTGTGAATACTGCATTTGTAATTTTGTCAGAGCTGTCTGGAGGGTAAACTCACATGGCTGGACACGGATCCTTGTTGCAGCTGGTTTGGTTATTGTCAGGCCGTGTTAAAGGGTCACAGAAATGCTCCTCCACTATCCCGGTTGTCTTTTCCACACAGTGAACGATCAGCCTCTGGACACCTGGACAACAAGTGAGAGGAGAGAGAGCGTTTGTAACTCACAAAAACACAAAAAAGGCTCCCAGCTTCATTTCGGTCACAATAACAATAGCCTTGTGTCTGACCTGGTACGCTACATGATTAAAAAAGTCAGCATATAGACATAACTGAATACAGAACAATGAATATTTATTTTGCAAAACCAAGACCAACTTTTGGAACTCATAACCACACAACCAGCACTAAAAGCAACACTGCCGGTGCAACAAAAAAAAGTTGGGCCCACCATGTAGGTAAGTGGCGTATTAAGTTTTGAGACAGCATTACACAAATCAGTGCATGAAAGGACTTGTCTCATAAAGCTGTGACAGATGTATCTCCTCTAGCTGTGATACCTCTCTCCAACATTATTATTCTATTACCACCCTGTCAGAGAGGGTGACACCTCTGACCTCTGGGCAGCCTCTGTTGAGCTTGAAGTAGAAAAAAGAAAAAAAAAAGACAGGAAAAATGCCGGAAAAGCCTTGTTGAGCTTTTGTCAAAAATTCAACAGGGGCTTTAACGACACTGTTGTAGATATTTTGGTCAAATGTATTTTGAAAGTGGGTAAAATACTGTTCCTGTCACACTGAAACAGGACAAGTATGGTCTTTTAATGTGCTGACTTAAAACAATGAGTCAAATATTTTATTAATATTCTTTTAAGAGAAATATACACTACTGTTTACTTAAAATGACTGATAAAAGACTGAGAAATAGGAATGTCATCAACAAAGCGAGAAAAAAAGGCTAATTTCTCTGCATTAACAAAAGGTTAGACACTTTGTTTGTGTCTTGGCAGTCAGAAAAGGAGAACTGAACAACTGTTTGAATACAAATAAATGGAGAAATAACATAACATTGGTAAAGGTTGGAGAAAGAGAGGCGAGTAGCAGGAGGTGAATTTCAGATCAGATTTGTCCGTGAAACCTGAACTGTATTTACGAATGACGAAGAAGCACATTTTGGACTTCCATATAAAGCTGTTTAAGGTCAAGAAGTCACCAACTTTTTCTAAACTTGTTATAAAAGCTGTTCACAAAAAGGCAAGGTCAAGAAGTCACCAACTTTTTCTAAAGTTGTTATAAAAGCTGTTCACAAAAAGGCAAGGTCAAGAAGTCACCAACTTTTTCTAAAGTTGTTATAAAAGCTGTTCACAAAAAGGCAAGGTCAAGAAGTCACCAACTTTTTTTCAGGGTAAGCTGAATTTGATTTCTTCTTTGTATTTCTTTTTTCTCAATAAACCCTAGAAACAAGGTTGTTGCATAGAATTCTGTCGGGTATTATCCTACTGAGCTACAATAACGCAGGTCAAGGGTTTGACCTGCCTATTGGGAAAATGTAAATCGGCATAATTTAATCAATCAATAATAACATTTTGACGACCTTACCTCACATATCTGAGCTGCACTTCCTGACAGTCAATTCAATTTAAAATACATTATTCATAGCAGAGATGTTATACCACGAGTGCAATATATGTATATAAATATAAGAAATATGTTAGAAAGACATACACAAGGATAACAGTGTCCAATCCATAGCTAGCCAACAACACAAGGCACATATCATATAATGAATACAAATGAAATGTTAAAGGGCAAAGTAAATAGGCATTTATCATTTTGGCACAAATGCTTATTTTCAAATTGCCATAATAAAAGGGCTCCCATGTGTTGCCAAATATCAAATCGGGACACATACACATTTTTAGGACTGTTCTTTAAGTGTGTTTTTGTGGATTCTGGGACATGCATTCAAAACTACAGGGAAAAGATGTACCAGACTCGCAGGCATCTCTTTCAATTCCTTCATCTACCAACAACACAGTGTTGTGTAATGGCTTTTACCTGCTCCACAGGTAACACTGCATTCAGTCCATGACCCATATTTCCAGTAGAAAACTGATGCAGGGATGTTGTTGTCCTCAGATATATTGCGACTGATTGTGTACTCGTACCGCACCCCAGGGTTCGTCTCCTGAAAGAGAAGCTGCAACACACAACAATGATCAAATAAATCAAATACCAAAAAGTAATACTGGACCACAACTACAGTAGAAACATGACGAAACATTCCATGGACGTTTTTATGAACAAAACATCTCCTTTGTACGTTTCCTTTTTGTGTTTCCATCACATACAAAGAACACTGAACTACTGTAAAACGCATGTTTTATTACACTCAAAATGAGTATAGTCATAAGGCTTCTGTTTGACAAGTTTTCAATGTTGGACTGCAAACACCTCCTCGAGAGAAGGGACTTCATGGAGGAAAGGGAGGGGAAGTAAAACAAGATGTGTTTGTGATTGAAACGCATCACAAAAACTAAAGCAAAGTAAACATCTTATAAAGCAGTTATTTTATTTCTAGAAAAGTTTTTGCAATCTTGCTGAAACACTGAACATATACTGTATGATTAGCAACACAGTTTCCTTTCTTCATTAAAGGTCCCATGACATGGCCATTTCTACTGATCATAATTCCATTGTTGAGGTCTACTAGAATAGATTTACATTGTTCAATTTTCCAAACTCACATTGGTTTCTCATACAGCATCTCTGTATAGTATGTGTATTTATTCTCTGTCCTAAACGGCTTGTTGGAGCTCCTGCCCCCCCCTCCCTATGAGCCCAGTGGCCGTCTGCGAGACAGCGAGACACAGCGAAACCATCCCGAACACACACACACACACACACCCGCAGCCTGGCTGGGAGTTTGTATGTGTGCTCACACACCGACTCACAGCCTCCCGCCGTCTCAGGGAGGAGAAATCAGCGGAGCTGCAGCTGAGAAAAGATTGAGTGTGTGTGTGTGAGGAAGTCCGCGGATTGGTCAATTTGGACCAATCCACGGACTTAACGTAACGGCTCCGCGGACGTAACGTAACGGCTCCACGGATTGGTCCATTTTGACCAATCCACGGAAGGGTCGTCGTTACGTCACTTGGTTCCCGGAAGAAAAAAATAGAAAAAGAAAATCTCCAACGAGGCGTTCTGGGGCAGCATAGACAGGTCTTTTCTGTGTTAGAGTTTTACTCGCTACAGGGTGTACTTTGAGGGTTTGTGACTTTGCAGACCGTTTACATGCATACAAACCTTCATAACACACAAGGGGACGGGTAATAACCGGAAAAGCATGACATGGGACCTTTAATGTAATTTTCTAGCGAAAAAATTACATTTTATCTCACAACATATCAGTTTGAGCTTTTCATGTTGGTTAACTTTACTTCAGTACTTGTTTTCACTAGTCTGGTCTGTGTTGTCACCTCATGTGCTTTCATATTGCTATGCTGCCTCTTGATTGATTTATTTCCTACCTGAATCCACAGTGGTTCCATGGTGGGCCCGGGGGACGTCAGGTTCTCCAGTTGTCCCGTCCTCTCGTAGGTGAAAACCGTCCCGGCTGCCTTGTACTCTCCATTCCACTGGATCGTCCAGCCGCCATTCAGAAAATACTTGTTGGGGGAGTCGCTTCGTAGTGCCAAGAAGTTCCCAGCTTCAGCCATCTCCTCAATACGGATATCCCAAGCTCCCTCTGGGATCAGTCCAATGTCTACATAGCCTAAAGGATGATACACTTTCAGTAAGGATACTTTTTGATAGGAAACAAGGTATCCTAACAAATAGCAGAGAAGACAGAGGAGACAAATGGCTCTTAGCAAAAAGAAAAGGGAGTGATGTTTTGTTTTCAAGGTCCCCTATTATACAGTTTTTCATCAATATATTATAGGTCTCGGATATATACAAAACATGTCTCTGAAGTGTTTGGCTGGAAATACCAAACAGATCATGCATTGCAGCATCCCATAAACCCCTCTGTTTCAGCCCTGTTTCAAAAGTGCTGATTCTCTGTCTGTTACTTTAGATGAAAATAAGGAGCCACTCCCCACGCCCCTCTGAGAGAGATTTGGTTAAAAAGAACACAATGGTGCTCTAGGAGGAGATTCAGGTGATAAGGTGTGGGGGGGGGGGAGGGTCTGGTTACCTTGGTTGGTGATTGGCTAATGGTTACACAAAGCCCAAAAAGTCGTTATGACATCATAAAGTTGCCAAAATCTGCTAATTTTCAGACAGGTTTTTATATAACTGGATCAGGACAAAAAGAGAGGGGGTCTTTGTTCCTGAAACGTTCAGAATCTCTTTACACAGAGGGGACACATGTTTATGTATAAAAGACATGAAAAAGTGGATTTTGCATAATAGGTGACCTTTAAATGTTCATCCATGTCAGCATATCTTCCACAACTATAGCTTAACCAAAATAACTCATTAACATACCGAGCCCTTCTGTTTCTTCAAATGTTCTCTTCACAGTGGCACAGGTGGAGCCGTTGCCATGACACACCCCGCAGCGATCCTCTACAGCTCTGGAGTCAATCACATAGTCACAGCCTAAATTCTGCGACACACAAGCAGCAAAATAAACTCAACAAATCATTATCTAGAATAATCCTCACAGTGTTTAAACTACAAAGGCAACATAAGGCATTATGCTGCAATTTGGGCGCTGAATATTTCTTTAGATCAAAGACAGTTTTTGCAATCTTTCATCCACATAAAGACTTGATAAGATCTGTTTCATGTGTACATCACTTTGTAAAAGCCATAGAAACAGGACAGAAGACAACCTTTCATCGCCTTACCTCATGTTCTGAAAATCCCAGTAATCCTTAATATTGTTCTGTGCTGGTTTATTTATTAATGTCACAGCCCATAACTGAGCTGCTGCTGACACATGGTGCAGTGAAATGGCACAATATGTAAACAAAAGGTCAGGCTCAGAGGAGCATCAATCAAAATGTAGGGTGGGAACACGCGACACTCTTAAAATTAGATAAATTGAGACTAAAGAATGAAGTCTTATTCATTATTTGTAAGGATGATCAAAGGAGAAATGGTGCTTTGCTCTTCATTGTTTCAGTGACCCTTTAAAACACAAATTGGTTTCCAGGTAAGGCGGAACACATGTGGCTTCCTGACAGAAATGTCACAAAATGTCATGAGATCAGAGCCACCAAGTCTGTGATTGCTGTCCACTCAGTATCCAAACAATGTCTGTATCAGTGACTGGCATTTTGGCCAAGGCCGATAGGCAAGAGCAGAGAGATAACAGCCACCGTATCTTTCTATCAACATACCCATTTTCATGCAGAATGTCAAATGTACAACACTTGCCTGCTGAGAAAACAAAGTGAGCTAGCGTCAGTCACTAGGCTGTTCAATCAGCCATGCATTGCAAAGAGACAGAAATGCAAGATGGAATACTCAGTGATGCTTTAAAATCGAGAACAACAACTGTGAGGAGGAGATGAGGAAACATATTTATTTGTTTGAGAGTATGTGGAAAAGAGTCTCGATACCTTACAGATGCCATTGACGCACACATCTCTGCTTTTGTTTCCTTGGTAGCACGGAGTCCCATCAGCGACGGCGTCCTGCATCTTGTCAGAAAAGTGCTCTTTCAGTGGATGGCAGTGCAGCTCACAAGGGCTGGCTGAAGGAGACAAGGAGAGAACAAGTTGTGATGGATGTTGTACAATCACAACCAAATCTTTGAACTTTCTTAACTACTTTCCGTCACAGCCGAATGGAGTTTATTTTGCCCACCTCTGTTGATGACTGCTTCCCACTTGTAGAACTTGCCCTTGTATGGCAATGTGTTGTAGTGACTGCACTGGAGGTCTCTGAAGGTGGGCAGGTCATGAGGACACGGTGTGGGGCTGCAGATCTTGAACCTCCGCCTCTCTCCCAGACAATAGTTCCCTCTATACTTAGGACTGTTAGTCAAAGAGGTAATTTTGGAGTTACTCGTTGACTTTTATTGTCAAAACTTTGTGATATGGTGGAGCAGTACAGAGAAGATAATATGAATATGAATATTAATAATAATAATAATAATAATAATAATAATAATAATAATACATTGGATTTTTATAGCGCTTTTCCTAATGCTCAAAGACGCTTTACATAAAATCAGAACAGAAACAGTTAAAAAAAAAAAAAAGATGCATTGGATATGCATTTTAATATAGAAACCAATCCAGTCCATAAGACATTTTTCTTTGGCAAACACTGTAATTTAGTTTCCTACGACATCATTCTCAATGTCTGAGCTCTGTTCTTTAGATAACATAATAGCTTTTGCTGTTTCCTTCCTTTCATCATTCAAATGCCAATCATTTTCTGTCCATTTATTGCCCAAAATAACCTCATCTCTCCATGCCCACAAATAGGGAACTATACTTTAGTCTGAAAATGGGTCTTTGAAGTACGGTTTAAAAGCCTTTTACCCATGGCTGTAGAGGGCATTTTGGTAGGTTTTTTAGATGTTAAAGGATATTCTTCTATTTTCTTCTATTCTTCTGAGATAAAGCACTATAATATTATTTGAATTGTAAAAATACAATTAATGCCTTGCAGTGTTATGCCTGCACCAGCTAGTCATGTTGCAGTTTACATTCATCTCTATTCAAAATGTCATCACTGCATAATTTCTTCAGAAATCTGTGAGAAATTATCAAAATCAACTTAGGAATTCTTGAGTTATTGACAAAGATGTGTATTTTGAGGTCACATTGACCTTGACCATTGAACATAACCATCTAATCAGTTGACTCCAAAGTCCAAGTACAAATGTTAAGCCCAATTTGAAGAAATTCCCTGTAGGAAATTCTGAGATATTTTGTTCACAGACGACCCACTAACATCATACCTCCGTCCACAACTTGGCCATATCAATAGTTAAACAAGAACAAATATATAAGTATTTAGGACAGAAAAGTGTCACTTACATGGGGTTATCACAGTCTCTCTGGGCGCTCTGGACCCCAGCCCCACACGTCCTCGAACAGCCCGACCACTCGCTCCACGAGGCCCAGCCACCGCTAACACTCTCCGGCTCATGTCCAACTGTCACACACTCTCCACTGAAACACCACTATGAAAAAACAACATCATTTATTACAGGAACACACACTGTGAACCCCCTTATTCCTGGTTAAGAGGACATTGGTTGTAGTGTTGTCTAATATAACTGAGACACATTGAATTTAATGTTTGAATATTCAGCATTTTGAAACATGTATTATCTCTATTTTTCACAATAGCTAGGAAGACATTGTTTGAGTCTCATCTGTTAGATTTTATTGTCTTACTTTATTTTATTTGCATTACTTTTACATTGCAACGTACTAATTAATTACAGTACTTTTGCTCTTAGTCAGCAATTTATTTAGGAGGAGGGGGAGGCTGTGGCTCACTGGGTCGTGTGCTGGACTTCGAATCAGGGGGATAGCAAATTTGAGTCCCACTGCAGTCAGCATGTCGTTGTGTCCCTGGGCAAGACACTTCACCCCAAAATGCTCCTGTGGGGATTGTCCACAGTACTGAATGTATGTAAGTCGCTTTGAATAAAAGCGTCTAACAAATGACATGTAATGTAATGTAATTTAATTAATCACAAAACGTCAGGTCCGGATCTTGAAAAAGCAAATACAGCAAAAAGGAAAGACTCCCATGACATTAAGCCATTCCTTTTAGATTAAACATTAATTGTAAGATGATGCCAATGATTTAATGAATGTGACTTGTGTTTTGAATCTGCCATTTATTAAATGAATCACAAGACGTCAGGTCAGGATACAGTTGACTTAATGTATAACTTCTGCCGAACAGTTTTCTACAGGAAACAACAGCAACCTTATTTGCTCAATGCGTGTCATGTTATGTTGGGGAGTTACAGCATTCATTTCATTCTGACAACTTGCTGCATCTTTATGCATCGTCATATGCTCAAAAATAACAAAGATGCAGTCTTTTGCAATAACATTTTTAGTTATCAATCTCCATGGCAAGGCGGCAAATAGAAAAGACTCCCATGATTAAAGCCCTTCCATCAGGAGGTTGAACGCTCACATCATTCCCACCACACTCCCCATGTCTCACTCCCTTCATGCTCATATAATGGAGGACTGACCTTGTCCACGCCACAACTGGTCCCATCCACAGCCCCGTCTAGCTTCGAGTGGCACGTGGTTCCCACAGTGCACCACAGAGTGCTGCATACATTCTAGAAGAGCACAGAGAGACCATCTTGTTACCACATCATTGTAGACGTTGTTGTTTACTTTGTCAATAAATAGGCAGAGATATCAATACATGTTTCCCACTCGGATATACATTGAATAATTAAGTACATCTTTAATTAAATGACAAGCATACTGAGTATCCTTGTCAAAAATAGTTATGTACCCTCCAGTAGGTGATTGTAGCTGCTGGCGTTTTAAGGTAATAAATGAACTTTATGGATCTGTACTTTACAGGGTGTGTTTGTCAAATCTTCTCGGCTGTCAATAAAGACTATTTCCCACAGGTTTACTGATGGTATTCGTCTGACTAAATTGCCTGAAGTCAGGAGTTCTACAGAGTACAAAAATACGTCAATAATATTGATGGATGAAGCATCGCCTAACTCGCGAATCCCACTGTTTGTTCTTGCCTTTTGTGATAAGACAAGTGTCACATCTTCAGAAACAGCACATCAGACACAGATTACAGGCAGGAGCTCTGCAGCACAGATTGTCCACATCTCCATCTTCCAGGAAACCATTGCTGCATGATGTGCTATGTGAAATTATAGAACTGCATGTATTTATCTTGTGCATCCTTCACTTATCTTTCATCAAAGCTAGCAGTCATGCGCTTTGTGAATCCTATCATTAAGTGAGGATTTACTATAATACTAACATATAAGTCATAATACTCATTTAATTCAATACTCAATGTAGGAAATAATCAAAAGAATAACAAGAGGCTGTTTATTTCCCACAGTGGTCAAATCTGTGTGTGAAGACTGATAACAGCAGAAGGTCGAATGTGTTAATAAAGGAGTTCCTGCGCTGGTGGCAGCAATCGCCGAGCCCATTCTTGTTTCGGTTGCTTGACATTTGTGATCAATGTGTTTGCATTTGGACAAAATTGTCGTACTGCAGATTAGGAGGATTTTTGAAACGTAAAAGAGTTCAGCATTTTGAACTTTCAGAATGCAATAATAAACAGAGCTCTGTAAATAAAGTATTTTCCAAGTTCTAGTTTACAACTTCTGGAACTTATAATATACAGGCTTGGAAACAGCAGTATTGATTCTCAATGTAGGGTTCAATTTACAATAGAAATGAAAAAGTCACAGTGACCGATCCTCCCACTCCACAGGATTCAGAGGGCTTTGAAAAGAATACAGCTCTGCAGAGCTCACAACCTCGATCTGAAGCAGCCTGGACTTACAGATAGACACCAATGTCAGGGGAACTTTTAGGACTTTAGCCGTGTCTCACAAAACAAATAAATCAATAGAGAAACCATCCCAAATCCCCAAACAAACTGAGTATTGAGCAACTTAAGCATACCTTAAAGCCTACAAGTACACAAAAAAAATCTGATGTAGCACTGATTCATGCATGTATCCAGAAGGCTGTACTCAATTGGTCAATGTAATCTCATGTTTAAAGCTTTTTTGTAAAACTTGGCACTAAAGCAGCACTCAACAGAAGGACAGTGCCAGGATAGACAGGTACATGTTTTTCTGTCATTTCCACTCAGTATCCACATATACAAATGTTTTAGTGTCTGTGATTGGAGGTAATATTACATTTACACTCTTAGATTTACTTATTTTGTTCTACTATTTTCCTTTTAACCGTAGTTGTATTTTCAGAATACGTTTTAGACTCTCAATAAAATAACTAAGGAAACACATTTTTTACAACTTAGGATATGTGCAATAGAATTGTATGCAAAAGGACAAAAAAGGAAAAAGTTCAGAAACACTGATATATAAAATAACATCAAATCAATGTCATCAAGCCACAGCAATACAAACAGCTGAGTTGGGGGCAGCAGTGTGCAGCAGAGCAACAAGCTATTCATTTTGAAATAATAATCATCACGGAGAGCATTTTCTATTCCTGGAACCTGGTGTGTGCTCTGTCTGATAATGGGATGATTCTAAAGAAGAGCACGCAGTCAATAACAAACTGTTTTTCAGACTCAAACTGAAAACAAGGCAAGCTTCAATAGAGTAAGAAACTTGTTGTGAAGTAAGGCAAGATTGACGTTCATTTAATAATGATTAATTTGTCAAATTAATGAATAACTTTAGAAACAAGTTAAGAGAGACAGAGCAAAACACTCAGCACCATGGTAATGGCTTCAATTGAATAACATTGGCTTCAAATAAAAAAACATGTTAATGTAAATCCGCCTTTATTATGTCCGATTCATTTCTGTATTTTTGTTTTCTATTAAAAGTCTGTGTCATGCTACCTTAACTGAAACCGTCAAAGGTTCTATATCTTTCAATTTATTTGAAAATGGTTAATTTTATATAATATCTCTTTATGATTATGCTGAATTTATTCAACGGGCATATCCTATGGTGTTACAAAAAACATGAATACGAGAATGAAACTTTAAATATATTGTGATTAGAAATTCAAGGCTTAAAGATTTCCTGTTGAGATTGTGTTCACCTATGGTTTATGGAGCCATTTTTATGAGCAGTTAAACCACAGATCTGCAGACTGCCAAACGTGTTAAGGTTGAAGATGAAGTCGAAAATGTCCAAATATTTATTTAAAGGCAATGTTCATCACATCAGTTAGGCCTCAAGGATACAGTCTTAATCTTGGTGATACACACTGCATGTTAACTATATATATATATATATATATATATATATATATATATACATATATATATATATATATATATATATACATATATATACACATATATACAAGAAAACTCCAGGGTACAATTAAACTTCAAGGTTGGTAACTAACCATGCTATAAAGAATAAACATCGCCAACTCAACATTTGAACTCAAGAAACTATGTAACGTGGGATTCGTGAGTGGATTGGATTAGCTTGAATTGTTTTTCCTCACAGTTGTTTTTCCATCCTGGGGGGGGGGGCGCTCGTAAACGACGCACATGTTGTAACAAGTTAAAAGAGAATCCAAGTTGTTACTTTAAGTAATTACATTGCTGGGGGGGAAATACATGTGTGGTTTCCGTATGTCTGATATTTTGCCGCTCCTGTTGCTTTGGCCTGATACTGTATATAAATTATTTAGATCAGCCCCCAACCATAATTCACATCATACTTACAAACCATACAGGTTTGCAAGCAGAGGATTTTATCAAATTTACAATCGATTTACTCAGACATGCACAACACAGGAAATACTCCCCTAAAGGAGTCAATATACGGTATGCCAATATGCATCAAAAACATTTGTGTGCATTGTTTCTATACTTCAAACATGCCAAGTCTCTGAGATTCTTCAGCAGTGAGCTTGAATACTGAGACTGTCATGTGTGAGCCATGTTATCACGACCAGCTATGCGGTAAGATGAGCGTTTTGCTTATGCAGTGAGTTTAAATCCAGCTCATGTCATAATTCTAGGATTGATGAATGCAGCGAGGGGAGTTTCCAGTGCTAAAAAAGGGGAGGACAGTTCTGTCTGAACATGCTGAGGTGCTTACAGATACAGTACAGAAAAGACATCTAGTTGGCTGTTAGAAAACACATGGGGCCCTTAAAACTCCAGTATGCTCCATCAGACCGGCTCGTAAGATGGTTTAACAGCTTCCGCAAAAAAACCCTCCTGAAAACATTGTTTTCCCGAGTTGTGTGTGTGTGTGTAGGGGGGATTCAATGTTTTCAGAAAATCCCTTTTCATGTCTGGTTTCGAGTGTAGCCACTCAGAACGACAAGGTTCAATGGTATCACATAGTATTGGCAAAAGACCGCTTTTTATGATAAAATTGGAAAGACAGAATAACTGGTAGTTATTGTACAAAAAGGACTTCGGAAATAAAAAATAAAAAAGTATTTCAATAGCTTGAAATTGTAAAATAGCATTTTGAACAACATAAACATAACATAAAATCATATTGGAAAAATACCTTTCCGAACTGGATGGGTCCTTTCTGTTTTTACTGCTTTAAAAGCTTGTATTGCAGAACTGAAAAAAAAGGAAGCCCTAACACTTCAAAAGTGGATAACATAAAAGAAAATATTCAGTATTAAAATAACTATATTGAGAGACAACAATAAAGGCAATCAAATTCACAACATACAAAGCTCAATGTACAACATTCGGTGTATTGAGTGGTATGAAGAAATGATGATAATGTAACATGATGAAATATTGAGTGAAATATTAATTTAAGTATCTGTTGGTCCCAGTCTGTATATAAAGGATTTAGTACAAACACTAGGATCCTTATTGTAGAGGCTCGAACCTCGGAGACCTAATTTACTGTCGGTCTGTCGAGCATGTGTGTGCAAGTGACATTTTATATATACAGCATTATATATTACTGATGAGTACACAGTGAAGTGCAGAGGGTTGTGGGAGCTGTGCATTAGATTTGCTCAGACCGTTCCGGTTGTCCTTCCACAACACAGTCGCAGAATATATGCTGTTGTGGACAGCAGATTGAAGAAGCCATGTGTGGACAACATCACACAGCGATGTGTCCTGTTCTGCAGTTAACAGAGGTCATTGGGCTTGTTGTTCAATATCCTGTAGTATATTGAGCATGGAGGAAACCTTAATAACTGTAGTAACTCTCTAAATAACTGTGATTTTTTTCTTCACACTACAACAAACAACACTTCAGTCAATTTTGTCAATTAATGAGATCAACAATGATGTTGTTAGGATGTTATTTCAAATAGGTTTTTCAAATCTAATATTGTGCGCCACACTTTTATTGTTTCAGGTAGATGTTTTTAACTGAAGTCTTTTATCCACCAACATCGAAAAGAGAGAAGACTTGACCTGATCAAAATGTTAAAACATAATAATTTACTTTACATATTGTATATGCTGCTCTACCTTATTTATTATAGGGAGCACCAAGGTTGCTTTTTGGGGTTTTATTTTCATTTAAAAGATGTTCTCCTAAAAAGATGTTAGAATTGAACACTGTGCTGAAGACATAATGGGATCAGAGCAGGATGGGGGCTGTGAGTATTGCTGTGAGGGCTTAGAGTAGAAGATCAGACACAATCTCAAAAATATGTTGGTGAAGAAAACAGCAAGACATGTGATAATAGAAAGAAAAAATGAGGACAAAAGTGTATAATACAAAAAGGCATAGTAGAGGAAAGCAAAGAAGGAGATGTCAGAAGACCAACATGGCCGTATATGGCTTTGTGAGGATTTGTTTTGATACATTTGTTGTGAGAGAGTCTTACGTCCATGTCATCACAGAGCAGGGATCCAGATCCATACTGCAGCCGGCACTGATGGGCCGCGCTGTACAGGACCCCGGGAAGCACCGAGTTCAGAGACAGCTGTTCCTTCACCGGGGCATCATCAAGGCACCAGCTCCAGCCACGACTGTGAGGAAGGGGCAGAAGTGGGGGGGATATTTTTGGGGGAAAGAACAGAAAAACAGAGTCTGGTTAGCACAGTTTACAGACGTCCCTTTGTTACACACATAGTACTATCTGAAACATCTTTACAAATGTCTGTACTCTTTCTGTGGTTGACTTTCCGCCATGAAAACGTTTAGAAAGACTGCATTAGTTATTCTGAGCGCCAAGAGACAAGCAGATATCTTGTATCACACATAAGTAAAGTTTCCAGCTGATGCAATCGCTAGGAATAAAATGAAGCAGGAATGAATGCAACAAAAATCTTCTGCAACAATCCAAGAAATAATGATAATGTTGACCTAGTGTTTGGCTACAGAATAGAATGTGTGAATAGCAGCTGCCAAACAACACCTGAACAATTAAGTGCCAATTTAATACAAAGGGCATTAATCCTTGAGCTAAATATCCTTAAGCTCATCTCTAGCACTGAATATTAACAAACAAAAAATGGTGATAATTAACTGAATTCTTGAGGCATAAATATATATAGAGAAGTGATGAGCTTAGGTACTCAGGAGAGTTTTTGATCACAAGCAGTGAAAACTCTGGAGTCTTTAGAAGTGGGTCTGCTATCTGTTCGCACATGGATGCATAAAGGAATGCACGCATAGTTTTCTGATAATGATTTCACACTATTCCACTTATCTACAGGCGGTATTAATATGCAACAAAATTTAGAAAATGGCTAGCAAGTAAACATGATGTTAATATAACCAATGAAGCTTTCAAAGTACATTTTGTTTATGTATTAGGGGTTCTCAAAGAAGAAGCTGTCCTTGGACACCCAACGGAAAAGACGGCATGAACAATTGCCCAAAACTTTTGCCCAAACACCACTAATGTATCAATCAACACTTTTTGCAGAATATTTAAACAATACATCATGATTATCAATCAACAATCATTCCATGTTTCAAATCATTTGACATTAAATGAAAGGAATGCTTCGAGTATACTGGCTAATGAGGATACTGTGATTTAACCTGAAGATAAGGGAGGGGCTATTTGTGTCCAGGATGCAGATACATTAATTAAAAGTTTAACAATGACCCTAGTATATCTCGTCAACAGGAAGTATGTGTCTATTCGGAAGGGGCTAGGCAATTTCCTTTTATTATCATACATCATTTATTATATTTTAAAACCAATAATTCTTAGCCTAGTTATACAAAATGCAGGATAAAATGCAAGATACTTAAGTTTCAAAAGGAGACTGGCCAGATTTCTGAGTCCTTTGAGACACTGAAGTTGCAGTTTGTCTCATGTGTGAGAGTGTTGGCAAGTTGCACCTCGATCTTCATTGCATATGCATTTAAGGGAGGGTCTCACAAACATGGTGACATGAATAAATAAACACTGTGGCAGTGACAGTGTTTCAATGTTTGTTAACATATTCAGCAGAAGCAATTGTGTTAATTAAAAGTAACAGTATAATTGAAACCTGCAAATGTGTAGCACATTTTTTTAATCGTATGTATAAATCGTTTTAATGAATTGCATAGATGTCAACTCTTAGCCATCATCACGTATGTAGCTAAGAGTTACCACCACTATGTAGCGATAGTGGTGGTCTAATGGATAGTGAGGTGGGCTTAAGATCTGAAGGTTGTGAGTTCAAATCCCACCAGGAACACCACCACTAGTGTGTTCTTGAGTAAGGCACTTAGTCCTGAGTTACTCCAGGGAGAATGTCCCTGTAATTGGTCATTGTAAGTCGCTTTGGATAAAAGCGTCAGCTAAATGAAATGTAATGTAGCAAGTATTATCATTAAGTCCAGATATTCAGTAGCATACTCTTCATGTCAGTTTTACCAGTTTTTGTTTTAATAAAATGACATGATGATAAGACTTAGTCAGTGCACTTTGTGCCACTCTTACAGTCACTATAGTTGAACAGCACAGTCTGGTGTGTGTCCATCCCTCTTTTGCTACGGACTAATCTGCCAGGTAATTTATGTCTGGGGCTCCATAGCGATGCAGCCATTAGTGCTGCAGCATAGTTCAACTGAAAATAGTTTTACTGTCAGTGGCAACACGGATGGTTGGACTGACACTGTATGGAAGTGGTTATGGCATTAGCTTTGGGAGGAAAAGGGTTCATGTCATCACTTTTAATGACTTCCTGAAAGGGGAATACAGGGAAAGGCTAAGTTCTGCGTTAACCGCCTCATTATAGCTTCCCATTTCCATAGGCAATGAAACAAAGTTCTGTCAGTCACAATAATTACTATTTTGTTTAAATATATTATAATATTAACTCCATACAGTATTATTTCAAGGATACAGCCAGGTTATCTCAATGAAAATAACTCATTAGAAATGTAATTATCTATAAGAGAGCATGTTTTACATACAAATAACCAAAATTAATTGACATTTTATAACTTTTCTTCCAAGTGGTTCTGTTGGCAATCACTATACAGGTAAAGATGACAAGACGAAGGATAATCAGGTCATTTAACATACATACCACAAAATACAATCTATTATGTGTATAAGAAAAAGCAACAGCATAACAACTATAATATTTTACACAAACAAAACAATCTGAAGCACTTATATCAAATGTGTCACAATGTCAAAGCTTTCTGGTTATCTGATGTACGGATGAAACACTTGTTTTGTTGAGGACGTCACCACAAAATGAGCCCGCAACCACACACATTTCCATAATGAGCAATCTCGTGGGAATGTAATGATCCTGTGGTAATTCAAATAATGTAAGCTTTGTGATATGAATGACAATTACTTTCACGTCATGCAAAACAAATATGAAGCTGCCCTGGCAATTATGCAAGGGGAAGATTCCTTTGTCCAAGATGTCACTTTGCTTTGCACCAATACATTTAAAATCCTCTAAGGGATGTTGTTATTCTAGAATAACCCAGCTGCTCTACGCAGTACTGAATCACCACCTTCCACCAGAGGCTGCAATTAAAACGGGGGGCTCTGCCGCCGCTAACAAAATATAAATAACCTGCACAGGTGGTGTTCCATCATTAGGCATTTACAGTTGCGATAAAAAGGTTATGTTGGATTTACATTACTGTAAGTGTAAATGTGACATTTTACACAAAAACACCATGTTGTGATTACTGTGAATCTGTTTAACGAGGCCACCTGGAAGAAGTCACAATGCCAAAAGAACCTTCTGCGGTTATTGTTTTCTTGCAATTTGAAGGCTGCTAACAGGGTGCAGATTTACCTTGAATTATCTCATGACAACAACATGGCCTTTCTACACATTCAGCAGACAAAGAGCAGTACTAGAATTGACAGTAGTGTATACAACATACATATCACTCTCTTTAGCTGCTAAGTTCTGAGTTCACCAGCTGAACACTAACTGTGAGTATTTGTAGAAAGAATATGGGGAAATGCAGTCGGGTGATAATTGTTTCTGGGTTTGTTTCTGCAAGCAAATGCTTTCACAACACAAATTCATTTCAGCCATTATTAATATTGAGAATGATTTTAGCAGCTTTAAGGAGAAATTACTGCATGAATAATACACCTTGTAAAATGAGGAACAGAGTTCGACCAACAATACACTTGTGTTTGTGTTAACCTAAGAAATATCTAGATATATATATATCAGATTTAAAGATATGGAGGCTGATTGTTTGGCACTTAACATCATTTATTTGGGATAACTTCACACTGGTAATTGAGCAGCAGCAATTAAAATCTTCTCCATGAGTGCCTCCAGACTAAAACGCAGCTCAGAGGGTAAATTAGGTCTTACTGCGGTATTTGTCAGAGACAGATTTCCCGGAAATGTTTATGATGATTAATTAACTATGTCCTGAATCCATTCATCTCAAACGAAATGTATTAATAATAATTATTAGCCTTGATGAAATATGCCATGTTACAGTACAGTAAGATATCCTCAGGCTATTTGTGTCTGTGTTTGTGTCAAATTTCAGGGAATTATCCTCTGGACATTCAAGGGTGTCTTGTGTTCTTATAAGTAGCCCATCTATGTGATAATATCTAAACCACGCCACTGAGTGTGACCCTCCACATTCCACATAAAATAACACCTACGGACCCGACCTCTGAAGCAGCGTGAGCAGTGGAAGCCTGCGGGACAACCAGAGCCAAAGATACAATAGAAGCCTTGTCCTGCAGTCAGTGAAAGAGATGAAACAGAGAAAATGAGTGGAGTGCTGCCGTTTAGCGCTACGAGATCAGAAGACCAATATCAGTAGTCCACTCTTAAAGGATAGAAAACAATGAATTCAGATGAAGTGGTTTAGAAGAGGATGGCTAAATGAGCTGGTTTAAAGACAAGGACACGTCAACTGGGAGGGGGCTGGATGGGAAGAATGTTTAATCTCTTTTCTTTTAAAAAACACCCTCTCACAAGTGTAAATATCGCCCTGCAGCCCTTTTCTTCTCCACAGTGAAGTCAAGGAGCTACAATGCTGTCAAGTAGCAGAACACCCACTGAATGAATTCCAGATGCTTGGAGCTGTTGAGAAACTGGGGCAACTGTGGTGAAATATCTCAGACATTCAACACAGGTCTCGTTGGAGACAGAACCACAGTGCAAGTCTTTGAAAGCAGCAGCTGACTGTATTACTGCCCACTCTGCAGCAGAATACTGAGCCTCTGGTCACACAGCATGTGGAAAAAAACATACACACTAAACGGAGCTAGGGCTATTTTCTCAACACAACCTCCCTAGCTTCCTGTTCCTTCCAACATACTGTAACCCCCCCCCCACACATATTTAAGTTGCACTCAAACACTGCTCCAAAAGGTTAAAGATTTCCATTATCTAAAAATCCACGCATAAATCTACCGACTGCTCGTCTCCCACTTAGATGACAAATGTGGGAAAATAAATGCACCAGTTGACGTTGCTGAAGCTTGACTTCTCCTCAGACTAAAAGGAGGATTATAGACTAACATTAGTCTAAATTACATTCAGAGCAGATACAAAGACTCACTCAGCCGCAGACTACAAAATGAGCAATCCTTTGTACCTGTAGCCATTACGCTCCACCATCAATGATTCAACCCAACTTCAGAGCCTAATAACGGGAATATTATGTACTATAATGTTCAGGCTATTGTTGATATTTTATTTATACTGTTATTTATATTATATTATTGTTATTTAAATGATTTATTTTGGATTCTTATTTATCCTTGTGTGAACCTCTGTAATCCTTTGTTTCAAACGTATTCCTGTTGCGGCCTATACACCGGGATTTCTCTACGGTTATCTATAAAGGTTTATCTTATATGTAACCCTTCATACAGCAGAGCAGAAGGCCACTGCTCAAGAATTTCGCATTTGAGAAAAAAAAAGAAAAGAAAAGTTCCACTTGAGGTATAGTACTCTATAGAAGCCATACTTTTCTTTCAAATTGAACCTAAGAGAGGACTATGAAGGTCATCTAGACATGTATAGAACTTCAAGTAGCACAGAAACTCTTTCTTTCCACACAGAGCACACATATATATTTACTGTATACGATGGCCTTTGCAACTTTAACATACATTTATTAAAGTTTTGGGCAAAACTTTCAAGAAAACTTTTAAAGAAACACACGATCTAAGTCAAACTTCAGACAGCAGTATATTAATGCATCATGGGTAACACTCACTCTAGGAAGCGGGTGATATACTGGCGGCTGCAGCGGGACCACCTGGGCATGGAGGTGCCGTACAGGAGCTGTGGAGACATGACGAAAGGTCGTTTCCCAATGGGTTCACAGTCATTACCGTTGCCATCATGCTGAATCCCAAAGCTGTGACAAAAAAAATAATCCAACAGAGAGGGTAATTAAAGTCAGTAGATACAACGCATTACATGTACTTCAAGGAAAGGGCTACAACAAACAAATACTGTACATATACGTCTTTCTGTGAACTGCATGTATTGCTCATGCTGAGATTACAACCCTTATCTATTGTCCTGTAGGTGCAGCAGTGCTGAGCGACAGAGACATAACAGATTGAACAATCTGGTCACAGCAAAGATAAAAGAAAACAAATGTAAACAGATTGTCCACATTCTCTTTCAAGGTAGATATCAAAGCAGTGAGAAAAACAACAGATTAATGAAGCTGATTCTACCAATGACTTATAGATGCTGGTCAAAAATAAGCCATTTGTGAGAGATATATCAAAAAATCCCTGTTTCAACAGATACAATTGGAGCCTGTGTCTGCTCTGCTGTTCTGCTGATGATTTTGAACAACACTTTATGGACATAGAACATCTGCTTATGAATGGATTTCAGCATGAACAACACATAATGCAAACTATACATGAACAAAGAAGTGAAGGTTAACGTAAAATAAACATACATTCTCAAGTTTTGTGTGAACATTTCATTCAATAACAAGTTAACATTATGCTTGTTTTCACCGCATTTGAAATGTTTTCGTGGAATACGGTAACATTATCATGATCAACATTAGCTAGGAACCATTAGCTAAAATGACAATTGCAGGAATTTATTATCACCTGTGTAACTTAACTGTGTAACAACTAAATAAAACATATCGTTAATCTATTCATCTTTTTAGCATCTAGTTAATTAGCCTTTGCTTTTTTATGCCACGGATTGTGTACTGTAATTCATACTATGTATACATGTATTTCTTCTTTGAATGCTGACATTTTGGGTGTCCATATTTGAAACAGAAAAATGGGACCATTGAGTTTGGCTCAGTTCACTTGGCTAACGCTTATGTGTGGCAGTCGTAATAAAAGAAGTGAGACAGTATCATTAATGACTTTTCTGGGTTTTTTACAATTATATTTCCAGACTAAGGACACCCATTTTATAACCAGGACATTCCTGGACAAACCTGAGTGAAAGGTCACAGTAGCTGAACAAACCCCCCTACAGTCTGTCAGCCCACTGTTGTAGGTTCAGTGAATCAATTTTCTCCCATAGGACAGACTGCTTGGTATTCACAGCAGCCTCTTTTCTGCCTAGCATTCGAAAGAAATCTCTGTGAACATATACCGAGAACTGGCTGTCAATCATACACACGCATATGGTGAGGGTAGGTACGTCAGGCTCGGCTGGGCCATAACAATCAAGATGTATATACAATAGCACAATGAACCACACACTGTTTTCATTGATTGAAAACAAATTGAATCAGTCTGAGAAGAATGGGCCTATGATTGTAAAGTGCATGTACAAATGGTAAATGAATCGATGCAGTACATGAGAAAATGTGTGCAGATGTGATGAAAGATAAACGTCTCATTTCTTTGGACTATGGATTGTCTGTTTGAATTCTGTATGTGCCATTTACAGTTATCGTTATTCCTCACATTAATGGAATTATAATTATGAGTTTTCATTAGTTTAATCCATGCAGAACCGGTAGCTTACAAGGGCAAGGTCATGTACTTTCAAATAAAATGAATCAATCAATAATAGAAAACAATTAAATACTCTAATAGGTGATTCAGAATATGATTTGTAAGAGAGGTTTTTAAGTTCCCCGCACTTAACCCCAGTTTTAAGGTTAAGGTTGGCTTTTGCTTGATGCATTGTTTTTGTTCCTTTATGAAAAGCTGTTGTCCTTTTTTGTTAACATTCTATTTGTTTATCCTCTAATTATGAAGTCTGTTGCGGAGAAATTCAAGGAAAATAATGAATGAATTCTTAGAAGTAGTACTTAAAAGGCTGGAATAATTGTGATAACATAGCAGCAATGAGCAACAGCGTTCCGGCATAATAAGCATACTATTCTTCAGATGATGAAATATTTTAGCAACCTTAATTCAGGCTGCTTTTCTATCTGCCTGAAATAAATGTGTTGTTTCAAAAACTACGTAGACATTTTAAGTGGTGAATCTTTAGGAGTTTAGTTTTGTATTTGCTGTGCCACATACAGTAGGACAGCTTATGGGTGAACAGTAAATAATGTATATTGATGGAATCATTTGAGTTAAATGGAAACATATCATCATCAAGTGTTCACAGGAGGTTGCTTTCTTAGTTTTCCCTTGCCGATTACTCGACTAAATGAACATAAAGCAGAACATTCAAATGTGTGTGTTTATTGCATGTAACAAACTCAAAGTGACTTTAAATGACCTTGAAGCAGGCCGCTGTTGTTGTAAAAGCTTTGGTTAACTGTTGTATGAATGTGTTGTGATTGTGTGTTTTAAAATTGTCTGTAACTGTGCTGTTACCATTCTTGGGCCAGGACTCTCTTGAAAAATAGATTTTTAATCTCAATGAGACCTATCCTGGTTAAATAAAGGTATAATAAAATAAAATAAAATAAAATGTGTGTGTGTGCGGTGAAACCGTACTTGTGTCCCAGCTCATGAGCGACGGTGAAGGCCAGAGGGAGGCCGGTGTCCTCGCTGATGCTGCAGCTGCGATGCGACTGACACATCCCCGCCACATGGGACAGGCCCAGCGTCTCACAGGGCATGTTGATGGACGCACAGATGTCCTTCCTGTGAAGAGCGGAGTGTGTCAGATGTCATTTTATTTAAAAGGTAAAACGAGGGACGATGCATTGGAAATCTAAATTATACAATGATGGAAAACAGATACTGATTTGGGAGGTGATAAACGACTGGAGAGTGTTGGTGGGAAACAAAAGACAAACAATCCCATCTGCTGCAGACTGTGTTTATTACTGTTATTATCGAATCAATGTTAAAATTATATTAATTATAGCTGTAAACAAGCCATCTTTTGGGTGATACAAATGTAATAAGATCTGGTTAAATAATACATAAAACTACTGACTGTATTTTTCAAAGATATTGAAAAACGTCAAAGAAAAATGTTCATTAAATTAGTTCTTTAATATTTAAAACCTGAATGCAAACACAAACAAACACAATTGAAATACTTAACACAAAATAACCAACACTGAATTTCCTTACAGTACATCTTTTTTAACAATTAGCTTCTTGTCTTTGAACTTTATTATAGAAAGATCGTTATATTAAATTATTATTATTAATACGTTTGACATTACTTTGAAGTTCATAGATACGCTAAATATAAAAAATATAAATGGGATAACCAATAACTTGGACCCTCTGTAAGAAACTTGTAAGGTACACCTACATTTTAATATAGGATAGAGTGATAAATAAATCTATCTTTGGGGAAGAAGTGAATCACGAGGTAAAACAGGTGAAATCAGAAATGATCTTTTATCTGTAAAAATATTCTAAAGACTGCAAGGCTAACTTATTTGTAAAGCATACTTTAAACGAAGGTTTTACAATTTAAAGGAAAAAGAACAGAAGAAAACGTTGTCAGTTTTTCTGAGAGACAAAAGTATATATTTTTTGTAATGCAAATGTTTTCCTCTCAAAAACAGTTTGAAAGGTTTTCCTGAGCCACATCGACCTTCATTGGATAATTATTTACTAAATGCATGAGAGTGCAGTGTTTGTTTTCTGTTTATTTCACCGCAGTTGCTCTATTGAGGCATTTGGGACTTGAGTATCAATCTGTTAACTTCATCGCTGGTGACGTGACAACTGTTAGATGTCAAATGAAAAAGACAACAATATATGATTGTTTGTGATAAAAGGCATGGAGCTTTCATTATTCTCTCGTCAACTGTCTATATCAGAAAATCAATATGTGCTCCGGGAAGATGTAAAACAGCTACAGTTTCGACTCTCTTGGGAGACCATGGATTATGTGCGATTGAGAGTGACATTTGGTGCGTTGAGTTTCTATTCACCTTGTTAGCAGAACTGCTACATCGTGGTGGAGCGGGTGTTCCTCTCCTTTCATGTTTAGTTTCTTCTGCCACTTACAGAAGCTGTTCAAGCTGTTGTCAGCATGGTGTGTAATCTTTAAGTCATCCTGTCATGTGGAGATGAAGGGAGGGGAAATTAAAGTCAACAGGTTCAGAAAAATATAGGCTCAGTTTTATGGAACATGCTATAAGATAATTGCTTTTGGTGCAGTAAAATTGCCCCATCTCTGCCATTACAGTATATGCAGCCTTTAAGTGAAACCTAGTTGGCCCTAATAACAGACATTCAGACACATGTCAACAAATGAAAAAGAAAGTGGTTTTGTTGAGCTTATTTGCTCAGTTCACATCTAAATCTCATGATCTGCTGCTGTGAAGGACAATACAGGAAACATTGACAGCTGCTGACAATTTGAAAGCAGAAATTAGTTTAACCCTTTTGCCTTTTATTAGTCTAGAAGAAATAATTAATTTAGAAAATAATTAACACGAAAATGTAACTGTGAAAGTATCTGCGCTGTGATGTATTTTCCTCCGCTTTGCATTTAGGCTCTAGCTTTTAATTACAATTCAAATAATAAAGTTTTAGAAGGAAACGTTTTTTACATTTTGGGGGATATCCGTCTTGCCACAAGTAAGATGTGAAGATGGATACCACTGTCATGTCTGCACGATAAATACAGTTTGAATCTAGAGCCAGCAGCCGGTTAGCTTAGCTTAGCATAACGACTAGAAACAGGGGGGAATAGCAAGCCTGGCTCTGCCCAGTTAATCCAATCTGCCTCCTAAAGCACACTATGTTTTATAATGTTTGTAAGTAATGAAGTAACAGTTTATGGGGCGGTGTAGGCATCTCTGGTGTTTGCCTGGCAGACAACAATTCAGGTTACTGAGCATCGACACGTAATCCCCTTTAACATCGTAAAGTGTGTTTTTTTCTCTTCATAATTTAAACAAATTAGATTAGAGGTGCTGATGAACTCTGACTTTAATACATAGTTTAGGATTAGACTTTGTGGCCGTGTTGCAAGTCATTCATACAAGTTACCTATTAGTTTAAAAATAATGATTTTAAGCTTTATTATATTTAAAGTAACAGCCCACTAACTATGCCTTTAATGAATAAAGCTTATTCCCTTTTTAAAATTCTAAAATGACTTACATTTCATCATAAAAACAAAAAATGTTTTACCTCATCCTGCTCCAGTAATATGAGTCGAACCACCACAATGTTGATTGCGTTTCCAATACTGGGATCTCTGAACAGACCCGCCACCTGAAGGAGAAAAAAAAAAACATGTTTTTCACGGTTCTCATTCTTCGCTCCCACAGCATAGGGCATATCAAAAGTATTCTATATACAGTATACAGTATAAAGGCTGCTGATACGTACTTATTATAGCAATAATGTAACTATTATTTGAGATAAGATGCATCTAAGTTGCTGTTGTAAGTCATATGTGGAACATCTTGGGTTTATCAGAACATTTCAAAATGTAATATCAAATAAAAGACACATTCATTATATAACTCCCTTGTACAAACACTCGACCCTCTGATATTGGGCGAAGTAAACAGACGTTAAGGTTCAACACAGTGCATCTAAAGTAGCATTTTGACAATAATTCAACCTCTTAAGATAAAAGCTCATTCAGCATTTATTTACACATGCTCTTAATACGTAATTAAAGTGCAATTGCTTAGACCAAAAGTCAAAAAATCTATGATTGAAGCAATTAAGTGTACGACCCTTACATTTTTATATTAGTTTATCTCAAATTATCTCACTCAAGCTTTTTAGTGCTCAATTATAACATAATGGGTGTCAAAACGTGCAATTTAATCCATCATTATCAGAGTGATAATAGGCTACGAATATCTTAAGTCAAGGACTATAATCACGGAATCCACTTATTGAGCATATGATCCCCTCTTTCTCCCTCTTCATGATAATATTTTTTTTTTTTTACATCCCAATTGTACTATACCAGGCTATCCGCACAATAAATCATGCCGTTTATGTGCTTTCATTTTCACATTTGTTCACATTAGACATTTGTTCATTAGGCATTAAAATGCATGAAGCTCAAGCTTTCCGTCATTTCAACACAACAAATGTCTTATTCAATGCAGAAGTATTTCACAGTTTGGCTTAAGCTAATGTGATGCTGGGCTAATCATTGAAGAAAGTGCTTATAAAGATGGATGAGTTCAATTTAGAGTTGTAAAACTGCAAACAATTGATGCCAAGGAGCAAGAGAGACATTTTAGTCTGCAATGGAATAACTGCAATTATGTATGGCTGCTTGAGTCTGATTAGAGTAGAGTTGTAGAAGCAACACTTCTACAACTCAACTCTAGAGGAGAGCATCCTGACCGGCTGCATCACGGCCTGGTACGGCAGCTGCACCGCCCTCCACCCATATACCCCATAAGACTATTAAACACCTGAGCTTGCAAAATGTTAATCTTTATTTGTTGGACTATTTCATTGTATTTTTATAAAAATGTATTTCTTGTAATTGCACTGTTGGGAAACCTCTGACCTAAGTGTTTCATTCATTGCATAACTACACCGTAGTTGTGTATATGAAAGGAAAATCAATCTTTGAATCTTGCATTGAGATTCTTGCTGCCATCCAAAACGTCTACCCCTCAAACCTTCTCTGTTGGTACTGAGGCGCTTCAAAATGAATAGCTTTGACACACATGCAACGCTTTGGTTCATCAAAACTTTGTTTCAACTTTTCTCTTGTACAGTAGTGTTCAATTACAGATGTTTAGTAAACATATTGCAGCTGATTGAACTTTGCAACACATTTTAACAGTACCCAATAAGTTTGCTATCAGTCTATCTTTATATATGTTTTTCTATTGTTAATCGTTTCAATAAAAATAGAGCTGCAGCTATTTAAAGCCACAATGTGTTGTTGATTTAGCGTGTTTCCTCTCAAGCTGCATGCTCAACATTTACGCCCAGTCTCAAAGGGTAAGTCATGGTTTTTTGACTTTTACTGCATCTTTTTTATGTCCATGTGATCTTAAGATTCAAGGCTTTATTGTCATGAGCACAGTAGCTGCAGTGTATATATGGCAATGAAAAACTTAAATCCCAGGCTCCTCCAACAATGCAACACGGAGTATACTGTATGTGCCTTGCTTGTATATGACTGTGATACATATCCCAAAGAAACATCTATAAATAACTATAAGAATACCATGTGAAAGGAAGTTGGGAGCTATTTTTGTGAAAGAGCTTTCAATATGTTTCTGCTGAGATTGACTATCATGTAAATCATACAGCTGGGTGCACACAGTACAGAAAGAATACAAATGTATACACGTCTTGTGAAGTTGATAGCTTGGAGACTGCGTCCGTGAGGAGACAATGGAGCAGCTGCCGGCCGCGGAAGAAGAAGAAGCTATTACTGATTGTTTGGGCAAGAGGTTGTTTCCCCTTGATCCTGTGCAAGGTTGTTTTCATAAAATTGAATAGTTTGGGGCTTTAATGTTCAAAGCTGGAGTGTAGAGGACTCCAAATAATTACTATGTGAAAACAATGTTTGTGCTAATCGATAACAGCCCAGGAGTCAATTTGCTTAACTCCATGCTATGAGGCGGTAATAACATTGATTATGAAAGTGTTAGTTAATCCATCCGTTGTGTTACCTGGCACAGAGATGGAAACACAATCTGGTCTCAAACTGCAGAATTACTCTGTGAGGATGTTTAAACCTCATGTTGCTCTGCATTCAAAATATCTGGAAGGATCTTTTAATAATGTATTTTGTATTTTGTATAAATTCATAAATATACCGCAATAATAGCTTTTACAATTCATTTGTCTCATAATAATATTTGCTTATAAGTGCTAAATGCTGTGCATGTGTCATCAATCTGGTGAATGTGTTTTTAGTTGTCTCTTGTTTTATTTACTTGCAATGGTTGTTAAACTGTATCATATATGTTTTTAAACAAAGGAAGGAGCCTTATTCCTTTGCTGATGTTTTTTCTCAAGTTGCATTGCAACCATAGCAAGCAATCTTTTGTGTATTAAACTTCAGCACAGGCATGCAAATGTAAAGAAATACTTAGACACCTGGTCGGATGAGAAGACTGACACATCTGTCGTCACTCTTCTCATATGACTCTCCCAGAATGACTGTGTGCATTGACAGAAGCGTGGGCAGTAATTGGGTTGAGATGAGTAAAAAGACTATAATTAAGATATACCTACAATGTTCATGACAGCCAGGACATAGCTTTCCACAGCTTTGCTCCCATGATGCTCCACCATTTTAAGGTCGGCCACCACCAGCGTCTCCACCCACTTCTGTTTGCTGACTGAGCGCGGATGAATTCTCCTCCTCCTCTGCTGGCGGAGCTCCCACTGCTCCCGCTGCCTTTCAAAGTCTTCAAAACTCTGCTGTGATGCTGGAGTTCGTAGACAGAAATAGACAATACAAATGTATTCTATAAGTTTAAATGTGTATGTATAGTACCTGTTTTTATTGGAACCAAAAACCTGCACATTACCTTTTTTATTTGTACTCATCTCATAATCTATTAAACTGATGCATAAGATTATCAGATGCTTGAATAAATAATAAACATTGGAATACATTTTACTCAAATGGTGTTTGCGTCTTGAAGGAAGAACAAAACCTGAAAGAACACACTTTTTAATAGCAAATTCATGTAATTAATCATATAATATAATATGCGATTCAGCCTGAAAACCTAAGAACTAATAAGAAAATACAAATTTAGATTTTTCTTTAATAACTGTCTGTAGCTTTATGTTATTAAATGACGTGACATACACATACATCTGCATTGAATCATTTACGGGGCAAAGGTAAATCTCTTATAATCTACTCATTTTTCTGATCTCATTCCAGGATTCTCAATTATCTTTCGAACCCACTCAGAATTGTAAGTAGACGATTTATAAATGACTTAAGTTTTATGTTTTTCTTCTCCTGACCTCTGCAGATTATTAGCCAGTGCCAAGAACACCATTCATCAGTCCTACCCTCATCATTCAGTACATAGAGTCTGTAATCAGTGGAGCATAAGGAAGGCTACTTATACTGAAGGACTCTCATGTGCCATCTCACTGGATGGTATATGTCAGTTTCAAGAAACAAACTTTGAGGTATTGTTAGGTTTGAATATGGTGTTACTTTGCATTAGATTGCTTAGCGTGTGCAGTGATAGAAGAATGAACTCACCTTTGATTCCACAGGTACCGTTGAGAGCTTGTTTCCCTGAGATGGGCTGTACCACTGGACTCCAGGAGGGGGGGGTCGCATGGCGTTTGTAGACGGCATGGGCCTGAGTTGCTGACGTGTCATCGCTCGACTTCTCCAGAGGCTGAATAAAAAACTCTTCATCAGACAACCTGAACAATCCTGTCTGAAGAAAAAAAAAGATGCAGGTCAGTTCACTTCATCTGGTTAAAATGAACTATGCACCAAAAAATAGATTAGTATTTCAACAGCCCTTTCAAGCAAAACCATTTACCGATTGACCATTTACTATAATTTGACCTTTTTTAACAATAGACACACAACTAGTGGGCAAATGGTAAAATACTGCCTTACTGAAGAGGTGCAAAGATTGGTGGATTACACAAATATGATCAAAGAAAATTAAGCTCTACGATATTCAATTACTTGTTATAAAGTTATATTTAAACAAAATGCAAAAACATTTTGAGGATCAAGGTTCTTGAATGTGGGAATGTGCTGCTTAAATTGCAGAAAAGGTAATATCGGACACTTACAAGACACTTGAAGATAGCACCCAGTGCTATAAAACATTATAATGACTGTTTTCTGATGTTTTATACACTTGTAATGAACAATTCACCAAGAATTAACCTCCAATATAATTGATAATGAAAATAAATGTCATTTGCAGCTGTACAACAACTATTTAACCCCCGACATTATAATATTTTGTACAGTGCAATATTCACATGTGCACATTTTTGCATTTTGATAATGTGACAATGTGGATATGCTGTTGTCCAAAGAAATGTCTTTGAAATGTGTTGTTACTGGGGTAACTATACTGTACACTTGGTGAGTATAAAGTTAGATTTTATATATATTTTTTATGTGGATTTACACACAGGCGAAGAGCTTTAGAATTATTGCAGAACAGGCTAATCTGAAACCTCCGCATATAACACGCATTACCAAGATAAGCGGTTCTGATTTCTGTAGTTGCCTTAGCCCAATGGGGATTCTGAAAAGAACTCTTTGAAATATGATATCCTAAGAGCAGCTGTTAGCAATATAATATACCAATTCCAGTTTCTTATACAGTCTTTTTTTGTTGTAATATTAAAAAGCCCTCAACACTGACTTTTTCTTCAGCACACAAAAACAAGACCTAGGGAGCTTCCACTCAAACAGTCCTGATGTCTTAAACTTCCTGTAGACATCCAGGGCGCGACCCACACAGGAGAAAGATCACATGTCACATAAATTACTGCACCCTAAACCATGCTGGACCTGTGCCAAAACCAGATTCCAGTAGCCCCCCCAAAAGCTTTTTCTGTTGACCATCCTCGCCCTATATTTAATACCTGTCAACCTTCTGTTCCCATTAACTCTCCTCGGCTGTCAAAGGGTCACACTGAAGGTCAGACTTGCTGCTATGATTAACGTGTGACACCACATGGGGAAAGTAGAGCCACATACACATACAGTAACAAAGCTAACCCAGCTGTGTGGACATTTCTGTCTCTTAGCATGACTCTGAACATCATTAGCAGGGTCTGGACGCAGTGCAACTGAGGTCAAATGAAATGAAATCAAAGCAAATTAATGTTCCTCTTACATTCAATTCAAGCAAAGTGGTATTTCTTATGTTGCATATTTCACAATATGCAACATAACAAGCTATGTCTAGGTTTTTACTCAAGATGACTCAGATAAATACACAGGGGAAATGCAAACAAGACATTCACTGCTGTTATAAAGTAATCACTCCACACGGGGGAACATATGTTGCTGAAATACAGTCCAGGGCTGAGTTGTTAAGACTGCTTTCAGTTATGTGCCCTCTGCTCTGTAAACAACTGCCATCCTCGGACTCTGTTTGTTTGTGTGCTGTGAGTCTGTCCCTGCACCACCGTCAACAACACAAGCTCTACACCATTTATTCCACCAGGGACTCATTGGTTTCTTATTGTGTTTTATTAAGCCTGAGCCAAACCTTGCAGGACTGTAGGATGTCACTGCATCAAGGAATACATTATGATAGGGAATAAACACATTTTAGGGAGGAATAAATCAAATCCAGTGTATTTTTTTGCAGCTTCAACACAGAGTTGTTTTCTTGTAGTTCAGGAACACAACACCACAACAAAAGCTTTAGCCTGATTTTGTTTTATTAAAAAATGTTTTAAAATAAAAAAGAGAAGTATAATCATGTTAAATGTATTTTGCATCAACAGAATAAGATGTTACTCTTGTATTGTGGATATGGCTATACAATCTTTAGGATGTACAAATACACAGGCTTGGTTTCCTCGCTGATATTTGTTTGGCACTACACTATAAGATGTCAGCTGCTTTTGTACACTAATTACATACATACTGTCTGTGCATATGTTGACCAATAAGAGTTTTTAAATGTTTAGGACGCTTGGGATGTAATGATTATACAAATTACTTACTGATTGTACTCATTTGCATGTTTTACTGTGCAGCCACATGTTTCCTACTGTATGATAACCGTTTTTAGATCCTGGGATTCCTAACCTCCTCAGTAATGGGTCAGAAGGTTGTGATGGGAGGTGCTGCTCCACAGAGTGCATACCAAATACTCAATACAGACAGGGGTGTGTATTATCACTTATTACGCTTGTTTAGTTGAACACAGATATGTCAGACTCTCTAATTACTAGTTATTAAAGCAAATAGGTATTTATTAGACTTCCAACAGTTAAAGTAGTTATTTGATGGGTGTGATATTTATGCCACTGTGTATGTGTTGATAAAGTTTTAATATTAGTTGGAGCACTTAATCTAAGCAGGTCTAAAGCCATATTTACACATAAAGCAATCCTGCTTCAGAATCTTAACACAAACACACACTTATACACACTCATGTACACATTCACACATAAACTCACATGCACACACAACCTACTTTAGCAGATTTTCTGATCACACAACTGTCAGCTCTTCAACAACCAAGTGCATTTCTTCCGCTTCATACAAAAATTGTGCAGAAAGAAAAACGGCAAAACACAAAACCGTGCACAAAGAAACCTCAAAATAGATTAAATAAAGTGCAGGTCTGTCTTTCCTCATCTGTCATCACAATTAATCTCAAGAAAGAAAATCTTCAGGACAATATTCCCTAATATTAAGAAAATCAATCAATAGAGTCTTTTATGGTCATAACTGGCTATAAAGGAAATGAATCCAACTGATCATGTGTTATCTGCAGACCAGACTCAAGGAAAAAAGCCCAAAACAAGAAGCTGGCTGCTGCACTGGCCTGGCAGAGCATCACCAATGTAGATAACATGTGTCTGCAGATGTGAGTGGGTTGTACAATTCAGGAAATTAATGTCTGTAAAGGTTTTTAATTTATTATCAGGTATATTTAGAAAATCTGATTTACCCTAGAAACCAGGTGAAATTTGACCAGGTGTGCATTTGACTAATTATCCTCTTGTGTGTACACTCACAGACCACTTCATTAAAAGGTTCCCTGTGGAGGTTAGGACCTCTAAAGCGCTGGTACTGCCTGTACAGTCCTTCAAGTGATTTCACATTACGTCACTGATTAATTCAGTTGAAACTAAATAATTTTCCTGTTTCGTCAAATTTGTAAAATTATCATCTACGAATTCAGAGGAGAGTATTCATCGAAAAATAAAACTGCTCTTTTTTTCTAGGAGTTCAGAAATGATCTTGTTTATTCAGCGAAACATGGCAAAAACAAATCTCAAGTGAATGCATTACGCTTCAGTGATCTACAGGTATATGCAATGCGCCATGAATTACAGCAATGTGTCAAACACAGGGGAGAAGACTGCAAGCAAGTAAAGATGTATATGAAAAATGCAGGAAACAAATTGTTTTTGCAAAAATTAATTGACTTTGCAAATGTTATGCGAGTAAGGAAATGTATTCAACATGCTTGTTAGACATCCAGTTTACACACAGTGAGTTTTGCTGAAAATAAATGAAACATGTATTTGTTTACAGGAAACCCCCTTGGGGCAGCTTTAAGCCTACCTGCTCCTTACAACAGCCAGCAACTCTCGCAAATCATCCAGCTGTAGCCTAATGTGTGCAGACAGCATGCAGACATGGTCAAGTTTTTTGGTTTCTTTTCATTGTAACATCAGAGCTGGCGGATGTGCAATCTGGTGCAATGATTCCAGCTTCTAAAAAGCAGCTTTCCTTAGGCGAGTGTTGGGCCGATGGCAATTAAAGATAGTAATAGCAGGATGTAGTAAGAAAAAACCTGTCACTGCTATTTGTGTTGGTGGAAATGCTTTGTGAAAAGTTAACAAACCAAGGCCAGCCACATGTAAGCCAGGAGGAAGAACAAAAGTCTGTCCCAACGGTGTTGAGCAGAGTGGTATCTTTGAACACATAGAGCCTGGAAGCAGAGCGGACAGAGCAGCAGGAGGTCTGCACAGCTACTGGCAGATGAGACGTGATATGTGACCCTAGTGCAGTTGGCAACTAATCACCATAAAATGAATGGACTAAGAGTGAGAAAACAATCCCCCCTGCCCTAAAACTTGCAGGAAAACACAGAAAGAGCAGCATGAATGCTCATCAAATGGGAATATATTAAAGGTCCCATGTCATGCTTTTCCGGTTATTACCCGTCCCCCTGTGTATTATGAAGGTTTTGATGCATGTAAACGGTCTGCAAAGTCACCCTGTAGCGAGTAAAACTCTAACACAGAAAAGACCTGTCGATGCTGCCCCAGAACGCCTCGTTGGAGTATTCTCTTTTTCTTCCTGGGTACAGTGACGTGCCCATACCCAAATGGACCCATTGGTCCAATCCGTGCACACACACACACACACACACACACACACACACACACACACACACACACACACACACACACACACACACACACACACACACACACACACACACACACACACACACACACACACACACACACACACACACACACACACCACACACACACACACACACACACACACACACACACACACACACACACACACACACACACACACACACACACACACACACACACACACACACACACACACACACACACACACACACACACACACACACACACACACACACACACACACACACACACACACACACACACACACACACACACACACACACACACACACACACACACACACACACACACACACACACACACACACACACACACACACACACACACACACACACACACACACACACACACACACACACACACACACACACACACACACACACACACACACACACACACACACACACACACACACACACAGGGGGGGTGCTAGTGGCGCCTTGTCCGCTCCTCGCAGCAGCGAGCCGCGCAACGTCCCGCCAACACGGCACCCAGACCCCACGCAGCATTCTCATCTGTTTGTCATTACTGGTGTCATTTTCTGGTTGCTAACAAACGCCATTGCAACACATAATCACTGATGTTCAGCTGTAACGGTGGTGGACTCATCAGAACAGAGTGGGCGAGCTGACCAATCAGAGCACACTGGGCTCACAGGGGAGGAGGGCAGGAGCTCCAACAAGGCGTTTAGGACAGAGAGTGAATACACATACTATACAGAGATGCTGTATGAGAAAGCCATGTGAGTTTGGAAAATTGCACAATATAAATCTATTCTAGTAGACCTCAACAATGGAATTATGATCAGTAGAAATGGCCATGACATGGGACCTTTAAACTTCAAGAATCTATGACATTTTAGATGTCAACCCAATAAAGCTTCCTAAATATGCAGTCACATTTGCATGATTGATTTAAGGATAACCATCTGCAGAAGGTTGATAAGGCTCTACAGAAAGCGCAAAGCAAAAACTCAAAGTTTAGTTTCCTGTATATCTTTAAATCCATACCTAACTCTATTCATATTTCCAATTCCACAAATAGAACTTGCACAGGTGCACTATAAAGCACCCTTTGAGTTAATGACATCAGAGTAGGGCTGTGCGATTATGGCAAAAATTATAATCACGATTATTTTGGTCAATAATTTATATCACTATTATTAAATACGATAATTCATTGACTTTGAAAACATCCATTTATTGAACTTTTAAATACAAATAATAATTTGAACAGTATCTTTTTAACTGTTGATTTCCCTGACCGTATAATTCAACTGAAAACCAATACAAAAATAAATAAAATAAATGATACATTTATATCTACATTTAAATAAATAATATCAAAATAATAAATACCAATAAACAAGATCAACAAATATTTTGGAGCGCACTTCAACAAGCTACTAAACATATATAAATATGATAAATAAATTAGATCAAATATGTTGCACTGTCACAACCTAGCAAAGCAAAATAATCGTTTTTTTCGATTATGTTGTTTTCGTAATTGTGGCAGGCCAAAATCGTAATTGCGATTAAAATACGATTAATTGCACAGCCCTACATCAGAGGCTTGTCTACCGTTCTTCGATAAATGTCAAAACAGAATTCACCCTCAAGGAATTATAATTAATAAAGCACCTTTCTTTTCCTACTTGCTAAAGGCCGTGTTTGTTTACTTTAAAGTGGAGAGTGCGAGTCTAGAATTCAATAAATTCCCACCAGGGATGCTTTACAGCTGAAAATGGTCAAGCACACAGAGTATAAACAGAGAACTATAGGGGGTTGTTCTAATGGGAATTTGGTCCACTTGAAGCAAAATGTTATTTTCTAAATTCACAAACATAAATCAATGTGCCATGTTGTTAAGTGGTCACGTCATAAGATTTTGGCATTTTCTTCTATATTGGACTAATGATATCGTAGAAATGGGGATAGGGGCGCCGGGTGACATGCTTTAAATTGAGTGTCAAATGTTCCAGAAAGGAGGTTTTTCCATTTAAGCATCACAATAAAGTGATGAAGCTGTCTCAATAATTCTTATGCGTGTAATATGCAGTTTGAAAATATTAAATTGCTGTGTAATTATAACAAAATATAAGAACTACAGTACACACTACATAAAGAATGGTTGTGATACAAAAGTCACAGTGATGTATTTATGAATCAGTCGCTATGAGATGGTGAGTGCGGTTGCTACATGGAAATATCTTTATAGACCACACTTGATATGGAGCGTTTGTACTGCAGCATGTGATAACTCTTTGATTAAAAAATGGTCTGTGATGAATTAAAAATCAACTTATCTACTGGCAGTGTAAGAATTATTTCCTTTTATGACACATCTGCAATCGCAGAGGCAGCACTACATGAAAAGCTTGCTGCACGTCTTTAAATATGAGTTAGCAGATTGCGGGCCTATCGTTAGATTACTGCTGAGATATTGCAAATGCACGGAAGGGAGTGTCAGTATGTTTTTCAACTTCAAAAATGATATGGTGAAAGTACTTCTATAAAATAATGGATAATGAATAAACATTTCCTGTCAAAACTAAAGCTGGTTTGAATGCATGCCTACATATGATAGACTGTGTCAAATAAATGAATATATATAGCAATATATATAGCAGTATATGCTCTACTGCTTGGGAACATGATGTTGAACAGAGAAAATAGGTGTATAACACACAGTAAAAGTGATAGTTTTGGATTGTATGAAGTGGGGTTGTATGCAGTACTTGTCCAGATTCAGTGTATACCCTACACTGATGGCAGCTGCTGTGTGACTTTGGTGAATCCAGACTCACTGATCAAGGCAGCGATTTCCGTGTTCTGCAACGTAAAACTAAAGTTTCTGTTAATAGAGTCTTGTGGCTTAGAAGATAGTAGATAGGTACAATGGCTTATATTCCCCGCTGGAAACAATTGTCTAACATCAAGAAAAAGCTGTGGAAATATTCTATTTACAGCAGACACTTACATCGATATTTAATTTTTTTAGATGGCTTGAATATGTTTTGCTGCTGCCCGTTTCCACAGGACTACATTAATCTTGTATGCTGTTAGTTGTGTTTTTCCAAACTGGGGACCGCCATCTGCTGAAAATACTACAATGACTATGGATAAGTACTTCATACAATCACACAATAAGGGTTCCAAACTATCCTTTTTCTCAGCTTTAATAGAGCCATTAGCTGACAGCTCTATGTTTAACTTGAAATGCTTTTGAATGCAACTTCAAATAGACTCAAAGCTTTTAAAGTTACTCACCAGTCCATCACAGGTACTTATGGCAGCGCTTCCTTTACCAACAGCCTCATCCCACACGTCACCTAAGAAATGGCACTGGGAGGATCCAGGAGGATGAATCTTGGCCCCCTCCAGGCCACCGTACCTCCTTTCGGTCAGGAAGCCCGGGGCCAGCAGGTGTGGGTTGAGTGTGAGGTTAAAGTACAACCTGTGGCCTCCGTGCCACAACTGGTAGAAGACTTGATCTACGCCTGCTGGTCCCTCTGAGGCATCCCGGCGCTGTACACGGCTAGCATGGTGAGACAGGAAGTTGGACAGGAAGTGACCTCTGGCATCCACTCGAGTGGGGTGAACCACTTCATACTGCGGCAGATCCTGCTGCAATCTCTCTGTCAAAGCCATGGTGGGAAGAGGAGATGTAAGAGAAGATTGGAGAATGAATCATGTGAAAGACAAGGGTAATTAAATAATTAAAGTGACTGTAAAGCTGTAAACAAAACTGGGGAAGCTCTAAACAAACGCATATGGTGTTTCATCTGTCATTTTCATGTTTGAATACAGCTGCAGTGTATACAGTGCCTGAACCCTGGACACTGTCTACTAGCATATGTTACTTTCTACTCTAATATCTACATGGTTTCATAAAGTTGGTGAAATGTATTTCTCTGATAAAAAAAAGAATCTCATTGATTGTCTGAGATTTGAAGTAGTTGAATCAGCATCATCAAAGGCTGCATTTATAAGACCTCTTTTGTGAGCAAGGGTAAATAAAATGTGTGGACCATGTGTAGTAGCCAATGTCTGAGCCGAAGCAACGCGATTAGACCCTTTTTGTAAAGAAGAAATACAAAATTCATTACAATTTACAGCAGAAAAAGCATGGCCGAATGCAAAAAAGTAACATTGCTAGCATTCCTTTGCTGAGGAGTTTGTTGGACTACTAGAAAGTAGAGAAGTTGTTTGGACATAAAATAGCAGCAACTGTTGCCAACACAACAAACTTTTTGCATCACATTGAGAACAAAGAGAGCTGCACATGGTGAAGAGAGGCCAACAGCTCATTTGAAACAGACTTTGCCTACTGCTGCAATTCATAATAAAGTAATTCCCTGTATTTCATCATATCTAGATAAATATTATTTTCACAAAACTACCCTGGAAAAATAATATTATTTTTGAGGGAATACAAGCAATCCCTAATTTGCACATGCAAAAACGAAAACATATCAACAACAAATGTGGCCAATCCGCATACGCAAAAAAACTCGCAATAATAACTCTGTCATAAATATAGCTGTTTCAGAATATGTCTCATGTATTCTGTACAGCTCACAGTACAAATGACACCCTTGGACCTTCATAATTCCCAGACACACTGTGTTTGGCATATATGCAGATAATCTGTTCCTGAAGCCTTATTATGCCATCATTAACTTAATGTCATTCTAAGTTAATGATGGGCAGAATGCAAACAATGATTTCTCAGAGTTTAGAAACAAGCTGAAACAAGTTCCTCTCATTATCTGCACAAATGTTTTATTGAATACATCAGTGCAGAGAAGATCTGAGTAAGATATTATTGGCTACCAGCGGCTTGGAAGGTCTCACTGAATGGAGAGCAGGGAAAACCTTGTGTTTAAAGTCTTTACCTATTGCGAGGACACTTCATGTTTATTCACTTTTATTCCTGAATGGCTATGGTATGTCGGCTACAGTGACGAAATGTCTCTTCAACAACAGCGTTTATGAGCAGATAACAGCATCTCTTTTTCCCGATAAAACGGAAATGTGTAAACTTACATAAAATAAAATAAAATAATGTTTGGTGGCTCAGGGGAGGGATTGTCTACAAATCTGAGGGAAAGAGGTTTGGTCCCTATCCCCTGCAGTCCTTGGGCAGGATACTCAACCCAAAATGGCTCCTTTTGGCATGGCATGCGGTGTAGAGGTGCTTTGTAAGTTGCTTTGGATAGAAGCATCAGCTAAATTACATTTTTATTTAGTGCACTATAATGAATATATAAATAAAAAAATAGCCTTGTGAGTGCAGTCATCATCATCATCATCATCATCATCATCAATATTTCGACCTATGCCCATCTTAATATGGCATTCTTTAGCTGGTTCACCAGTATAGTAGAGTGACTGACTCAAACAGCATAGCTATCTCTCAGTATGCATTTGTTGATGGAGGTCTAGACCCAGATGGAGATTAAAATGTTCTAAATATTTACTAAACAAAAACGGTTATGCCGCCTCAATGTTGGTATGCAGTCTAGTTCCATGTGTGAGGATTCTTGCATTCAAGGTATTTCATAAGAGCTTAAGGACTTTCTGCATCTGTAAAAATGCAATGAAGCATCTTAATTAACAAAACACCCATAAGATATGACTTTTCATATTATGTGCCCTTCAGTACAGGCCAAAAAGGAAAGGAAAATTCAATTCAATTATATGGTGATCAGAAAAATCACATTTCCAAAAATAAGACTCTGAAGAAAACGCCTTAAAAGCATGAATAGCTAAGCTTGGAGAAGGTGGTTTTTAATGTGGGGTCTGGGACCAAAATTGGATTTTAAGTGTGCCCATAATGAGCCACACTGATCAGGTTCCTATTAACTCTGAATCAAGATGAGCTGTCACCTTTGGGTTCTTAGTAGTCCAAAAATAAACTTAGTGATCCATGTGTCAACATTTATTACCTGAAATCGTTAATGTTCAGGAGGTGCCTCCCCTTAGTGACACATCCTTGTCTATAAAGCCTAGCGGTGCTTGTTTTTACTCTCAACGGCTGCATTTGATGTATACAGGATGAGACAGCCTCTTTGTGCTTGTTGTACCTGTTATCTCAGGAGAGCGGTGACTTCTAAAATCCAAACCACAAACTAGGTATCCGGAGAGAGTCAGAGGATGAAAGTGCAAGGAGTGGAGGCGGGGGTGTTTTCTTCAAGGAGCGAGAGAGTGAACGCTCTGATGTGATAATATCTACTGGCTCCCACAACTAAACATATTTTGCAGAATGACGATACATCCTGTAGATACCCAAAGAGAAAAGCTGTTTCCTGACCTTCACTGGGGAGGTCAGAGGTCAGTGTCAGCTGAGCTGGGAGTCTGTGTTTTGGCTCAAGGGCAGGGCCAATGCTCTCCCACCTGGGGCTTAAACCTCTGATGATTCATGGAAAGAAGATCTCTCCAGCTAGCAGACATAGCTGCAAAACCTTGGGTTTTATTGCTTTGGTCAGACCAACATTTTGTAAACACAAGCCACAGCTGGCCTCCCCTCCACACTGAGGACTGCTGGCCTGACTCTAATGATGAATTAGATCCGCTCTGAAACAAATGTGAGCAAACAAAGCAGCCACTATATCAGAGGACGTGGCGATATTTTTTGTTTTCAGGTTCACTAACCTTCTTCATGTGGTAATTCCAATGTGTTGCAGATTTCCAGGGCCGTCAGAAGTGCGATGAAGAGGTGAATGGGGGAGCCTCTTTGTCCAAAAGCGTGAAGCCCGCAGTCCAAACGGGTCATTTTGTCAAGACGGTAGTTTGTATTTTGGTAACATTTAACGCCTTTCTGACACCGCGTCGATTGTCAATTCAAATGATTTCCATGTGGGCTGGAGGCACTTTTCGCTTTGTTGCGAGCGTGCACTTAAACTGTCACAGTCCCAACAAACGTGTGTACTTAAGGCCTGAACACGGGCTGTTTCTGTTGCATTCTCACTCTTTCTTGTCTTGTCGGTGTGTCGGTGTTAATGTTTGCATGCGAGTAGCTGTCCCCTCTGTCCTCCATCAGTCTCCCACCAACAGCCAGCCCTGTGACAGCTTCAAACTGTTGTCTGCAAACTTTCGCAGAGCCACCCCCACAGATGGGTGGACTTAAGACAATGGGATATCTTTCTGTTGGGCTGGGGGCTTAAAGGGGAATGCTACTCCAAGAAATCGGAAGTAGTGCTTCAATGTAATTGGCAGTTGCTCCCGAATCTGAGGTCTTTTGGGTTTTCAGTGGGTCACATGAGGACCAGGCTCGATATTGTTGCGTTCACTTGCAGTCAGAGAAATGATGACAGATCAGGAGCTTCAGTCTGTGTAACTAAACCTCTGTGAAGTGGTGGAGGAAACAGGCGAAATCAGTTTACGAGATTCCCAATCTTAATAAACTTTGCAGTTGTGTAAACAAGATGTCTTAACTTAGGTGGAATAAAGCCTGTACTGAAAACATACTCATCATGGTCACTAAACTTCTCATCATTGTGTACTTTGTTATTAAACTTCGGTTGTTTAGGCTTAGCGCCCCCTCTAGTGGAGGAATGGAGGCACTGAGGGCCAGTTGATGAGGGACAATGCTTCTGCAAGGCACATGAAACTGTACTCAAGGCGAAGTATTGTAATACATTTATTATACCATTTTAATACATTTATTATAAAATGAAATTATTTGAATGGAGCATTGGTTAACATACACTAATCTTGGCTTGTAACTTTTTTTCTTACCCTATTTTTTTTCCAGGGAGTCCAATTAAAATAAACAACACATCTCGTTTATATGAGAGACCTGGCCAAGGTAGAAACCATATTTAAAAAAATATATATAGAAAAAAAAACATCCTATTCAACATGACAAACAGAATATATTTCAACACAGCTGATTAAATTAAAGTCTTAATTCCTATTTTTTTGCTGAATTGTTTGGATGAAAAAAATGCAATTTCTTCATCCGACGCATTACAATTAAATACTTCACAGGCCTAATGAGCTGACATGCAGTACAGTAGGTTATATTCACGGAGACCATCGGCAGCAGTCCTCTTGTGTTGCTGCTGCATACATGATACTTTGCTCTGGTATGACTGACCGTCTGTTTCTCTGTCACGTCTTATGCAACCAATCGTGGCACGGCAGAGGAGCAACACACCTGTATAAAAGCACTCACACATTCATTGGATGGGGATAAAGTGTTGAGACACTTTCGCATGGTAGTTCTATTCGTGAAGCCTGTGCGAGCAGCAGAAAGTGGCTAAAGCCAACGTTTCCAACTTTAACGATGGATGACACATTTAACAACAGCGGTGCGCTGAACAGAAGTTCACCTGGTGGAGACAAATTCAGTTTTGAAGACATCGATGTGAGCGCGGACGGCACTCCCATTTTGAGGATACTCATCTCCGTGGTGTACTCTGTAGTTTGTGCGGTTGGTTTGGTGGGAAATCTACTCGTATTTTTCCTCATGAGGGTAAGACAGGGTCGAAAGAAGTCAACTATCAATTTTTTTATCATCAATTTGGCAGTGACTGACTTCCAGTTCGTGCTCACTCTGCCCTTCTGGGCTGTGGACACCGCGCTGGACTTCAGCTGGCCGTTTGGAGACGCCATGTGCAAAATTATCCTCTCGGTCACCGTGATGAACATGTACGCCAGCGTGTTTTTCCTCACTGCCATGAGTGTGACCCGCTACCTGTCTGTTGCCTCTGCCCTGAAGAAAAAATCGTACAGGAGGTCACGGTGCGTTAAGTGGGTGTGCGCAGTGCTTTGGGTGGCAGCCACATTGGCCACTGCTCCGACAACTATCTTCTCCACCGTCACCGTGGTGGCTGGAGAAAAACTCTGCCTCCTGAGGTTTCCTGAGGGTTACGACTGGCTTGCCCTCTATCACATCCAGAAAATACTGATAGCCTTCATAATCCCCATGCTCATAGTCTCTGTTAACTACCTAATGCTCCTGCGCGTTGTAAGACGGAGGAGCATGGACAGCAGCAACCCGAAACGCAGCTCTAGGGTCACCAAAGCAGTTGCTATAGTGGTTTTGTCTTTCTTTTTTTGCTGGATGCCAAACCACGCAATCACTTTCTGGGGTGTCTTGGTCAAATTTAACGCAGTCGACTGGGACAAGTCATATTACATGGTGCACACGTATGTGTTCCCTGTCACCGTGTGCTTTGCGCACGCAAACAGCTGCTTGAACCCAGTGCTTTACTGTCTGATGAGGCCAGAGATCAGGAAGATGCTCAGCGGGCTGTTTTGGAGAGTCCCCACTCCAACCACCAAAAGGGGCTGCGTGACGCGCTCTTTTGCGCAGGGAGAAGTGCCTCTCCAGGTGATTAACAATGGAGAGTACACGCTGTCGATCATAGACCGTAAAGGCGTACCCAGCTCCAAAATCGCATATACCCGGTGAATACATTTGGTGAAAAATAAACCTAAAACTCATACGCTGTTCATTCTTTGCTCCTGTTTCCATCTGTAGCAGTCGTGGGTAAAGCTTTCGCTTGTATTTTTTTAATTTAATTTTTACAGTGACCGTGGATGTTATAACTTGTTGGTCATCATGAGGACATTTACTCAGTGTGAATTTCTTTCCCTACAACTTACACAAAATGACTTGTTGATTCGGTTGACAAACAAGCCGAAGTACAATACATGTATATTTATTTTCTCTCCTTTAATACTGCTGCACGCTTTTCTTTCTGTCCGTTGTAAGATTACTTTCATGAAGTGTTTGCCTTCAGGCAGTGAAGAGCAACAAGGTGTAGGGCAACTTCTGCAGAAAATGTTGTGATTTCACATAAAATATTCATAGCTATAGATTCTATACCCGGAGACCAGGCGACAAACGGAATGCAGGAGACATCTGAGACATTGGACTCCCGGGGATTACACTACGAAGAAGAACCTACCAGGTTGAAGTGTTATCTAAGGCATATCTGTAAATCAATTGCCTTTTTTCTATATGAGGTTGTAGAAGATTGACATGTACATTTGCTTTATGTTATCTATTGTGTACATACAAATGTCAACCTCAAACGTCGAAAATGTTTTCAACCACAACTGCATGTACAAAAGAGTAGCCTATATATATATGTTGTATATTTTCTCAAATGCACTGTTTTTACTCTAAAAAGTTTCTCTCACTTAATGGAATAACATGAATGTCTATATTGTTTCATCCTGTCACAAAGAGGATGTGATTACAGTTATTTATTTTGGCTTCAGATATAATAAAAACGTTGAAGTGTCATGTATGCGTTATTGAGATTGACAGCTCAGCAGTGCACACATAAAGAGGGAGAATATGGCACCCCTGAGGCAGGCACATTGTGGTTCAGATAAAGGAATTATTTGCATTAATGAAGTGTTGAACCTCCAAACGGCTTTTGATCATTTGGAGCCTGTAGGCCAGGGCTATTCAATTAGTTTGGAATGGGGGCCGGTTGATGAAAATGATCCAAAGCAAGGGGCCGGGAAAAAGATGGCTTGAAATATGAGCAATCATATTTAAGAGCTTCAGATACAGTAAATACTACAACAGCATAGTGGAGTGCATATATTGTGTTTAATTCAATCAAACAACATAGCCCCAAGGCCTTTATAGATCTAAATGGCAAGTTCAGAACTCAGTAGGCCTACATGTTTCATTTGATTTCATTTAGGTGAAATGATCTAATCATTCACGCAGAGATGCAATCAATGACAGGAGTTGTCACTACAGTATAGTAGGTGGGTTCGAAACCCGAGCCCGTCGAAGTTTTCAGGCATTGTCTACCCCTCTATCTCTCAATGTAACACCCTCTCTGGAATAAAGGCACTATGGCACAAAAAAAAAAAAAAAAAAAAATCTTAATCTTAATCTTTAACATTATACTCAAAGGGCCAGTAAATATCACCCCGGGGCCGGATTTGGCCCGCGGGCCGCCAATTGAATAGCCCTGCTGTAGGCTATTGATGCTAAATTCCTATTCAGCACAAGCTCTTGTCAAAGACAAAGGCTGTTTCAGGCTAACCCAGGGGAGAGGATGCAGAGGGTCCAGATAACACTTGGCATTTGGCAGTGGTGCAGGACAGGTTCTCCTCAGGTGATTGCACAATCACAACGCAGGAACAACTAGGGGCGGAGGGAGTCTCCTGGATTCAGGCTCCTGCATCTATTGCCAGGTTTGTGTGTTAATGAATGTCTGACTGTCACTAGTTTTTTCACTCTGTGTGCCCCAAGGCTAATTTGGTTTGTGTAGCATCACAATTTCTGCAGAGATGGTGTAGTGATGAGCACAACAGGTCCACAAATACTTTTACCTAAAGCATCAAGGTTTGGGAAGCTGTATGGTCAGTCCATATTGTTAGTCTCTTATGCAAGGACAAAACTAAACAAAAAAGGAACAAAATGAAGACACCTCAGGAAGAGGTTACCCTTTTCCAGTAAAGACATATTTACTGAACACTAAATACATATGTATAGGCTTAATACCAGCATAGCAATTTCAATACATCCCTATATTATTCTACCTGATCCATTTACCTGGGATACAAGCTTTTTGTAGAAGGCATAGTGTGGATTCAAATCACAGGTTCATTCAAATTGCAGATTTCTGGTGGCTCCGAGACATTTTTCAGCAGCCAAATAAGGTAATTATTGAAAGCAAAACCCTGATATAAAAATTACAGAGCAAACAAAGGTCTAACAAAACCAGAGAACATTAATGTTCTGTATTACCTTCCACAAAATTGAACTTGGTAAAAACTCTCTCTGCACTTTTTCAATTATACTTCGTCAAATTGTTCAAGATAATGAGTGAGTAATCATGCTGCAGTCCA